TTAAGTTAAAGTTGAAGTGCCTTCAGTTTAACATGCTTTGCTCTCCTTCAACATGGGGTATATTGGTATTCATAGATCTCGTGAATGCTGTTCAGTTGTTACACATAATCACACATAATTACACATAATTCGGAAATGATAAATTTCATATGAAAATCTAGTTATCATTATCATTATTTCATCAGTTATCTGATCAAATCATATCAATATACTTTCTCCCTGCGATTTGCTACAGTTTGTTTTCGCTAAATCATAATTGTTCAGTAATTGTTTCCCTTTCTTAATTTGAATATTTCAGAGATTCCTTAAGCATTATGATCGTTTTTAATTGTTCGTGTATTCGAAGAAAAGTAGATCCCTTTTTCCTGCTTAACTCACATTAGCAGTATCTATATGAAGATTTTCATAAACTGTTTATTGCTGATAACATTGCGTTGATGTGCATTCATTCATTGTGTTGCAGTCCATCTTCCACTCATGAAACGAAATTTTTATTTCAGCACTTTATTTCAGTGATTTCATTACAGTGTGTTAGGAAGCAACAAACTGATTTGTGGCACGATGTACGAGGAATTAGAGGTAACTTATTTGCTTTCCCCCTTCCAAATAATTTACATTGTGAAGAAAGTTATTCTGGAATTAAGTGTAAATGCTATCCAGATAAAGCAAACATTGCTTATCTTTCAATTCTTTTGGCTTTGAAAAATTTCTGCAAATCAGCTAAAAAATGGCAATCTTTTTTTTTCATTTAATTTAACCTTATTTAAATATCAAATTATGTCATCAATCTTTTAGTACAAGATCTTTAGAACTTGACAGCTGTTTATGAAAAAACAAAAAGAAAAATTCCAATTAGAAATATGAATTTCGTCCCTAACTCTTGAAAAAAAATAATCGTGTACCCACATAGCATACATGCATACATAAATGCATACCCACACTCAGACGCAAACACACATGTTTTAATATGTAATTTCGATTGCTTTTGTTGATACAGCTGTCGTCATCTAATTCTGTTTTTTTTTTTCTTTTATTTATCATTTCCATTTCGTTTCCCGGATTTATTTACCAATATTCGATTGTTGTGAACGGTATTACTTTTTAAGTTTTAACAAATTGTAGCTATCGAAGATTTCAGTCCTTCAAATTTTAATCCTTTTTCGAAATACCTTACCTACATACATTATTCTGAACTTTCATTCAGAATATCCTGCCGAAATAGAAATAAATATGACTGATAATGTATAATTACACACTCAGTTTCTTCTTAATTTCTTCCTTACTTTCTTCGTTCCGTTTATATACTCTACGAAACGATTACTTTACTCATGAACTTTTCCATAAAAATTCGTTTTCTGTGAGAGATGGATCAAAATTGGTAGTTGCATAAGTTGTAACAAGAAATTAGACATAATTTTATATTCCTATTTATAGTGATCTGTAATATTCGGCAAATAGATCAATCGTAGCTGAAATTAGAAATCGCGTTTATGATTCTTTTTTTACTTTCTCTTCAGTTTAAATATATTCTGTTACGTTCTCTATTATGCAAATATGCAGTTTCTTGCTCTATTTTCTATTATGCAAATATATTAGAGTTAGTTTCAAATTTTCATCCGAAATATGTCCCTCACAGATCCAATTCTATTTTTCTCTTAGCGTTTTGTTGAAAAACAATTAGTATTTAGAATTTGTACTTATTGTTGTCTTTGTTACTTTAATATCTTTGTTACTTTAATTTTATAGATGATTTCGATACAAACCACGAAGTGTGGCTTTATACACGTGTATGTTCAAGGCAATCTAGATGATCGAAATGGCAAGACTATCATCATGACTGTGCATGACGTGGGAACAAATTGTATGTTCCTTTAATTTTATTTAGTTATCTTCGAAATAAATTTTTATCGCTTTGTACGTAAAAATGGTGGAATAGTGAAGTAGTAAAGTAGCAGAGCAATTTTCTAGTTTATTTTTGTGCTTCAATATTTTGTTTCATACATTATTGTCAGATTCGTTCGAAGAATTCTGGAAGTAATCAATTTCCAGTGATTGATAATATGCTAATTATTGACAACCTAGCTAGCTTTTGCATTAAGATTTTTTAGCTTGACAGTTTAGTTATCCATTTCGATCATTCCCAGATTTTCTAATGAACACTGTGCTTTTATGAATCGTCATCTAGAGGTTATATCATAATGAACTGGCAAAAATGAAAAGCGTTTTTTCTTTCGTTTTTAATCAGCAAAGAGCTGTAACTTCCACATTTGAATTGACTGCGACATTTGATGTCATTTGCTTTTTTATCAGTTTGTTTCATTTAGTTTCACAGTTTAGTTATTTTGACAGTTATTTCTAAATTTCTAAACATTCCTTATCATCGTCATTACGGAATAGTGCTAAAAATTTTACCGCATCGTTCTTAGTGAAATTGCACGTACATTTATACTTTTATAAGTGTGCCTGTTGTAGGGTTTATGTATGAAGTCGCAAATTATTTTTGTTTATGTCATTTTTTAATTTCGTTTACAGATAAAAGTTTTGTGCGCTTTTGCAACCATCCGTCAATGGCTGATGTGAAAGCAAAGTCAATTTTTTTGCATGTTTGCATTCCTGGTCAGGAAGACAGTGCACTGGATTTTGTGGGAGAGTTAGTAATCACTTCTACTGTTTTATTTATATGACTTGAAGTATAGAAATTATTTGGTTGATATGATGAAATTTCTACTATTTAGAAAAGCTTGCACACATATTTTAAGAAATTGAAAACTTGTTTAAACATTCCTATATTAACGTTTCTTCGAAACGGAATTTTTGGTTCACTTGCTGTAAGGTTGCTTGAGAAAACTTTAATTTCCGCATTTTGATTTGGGAAACTTCCAGTTTTCCAACGCTTGATCAGCTTGGCGAAGATCTTGTTTGTATACTCGATAAACTGGATGTGAAAACGTGCATCGCATTTGGTGAAGGAGCTGGTGCAAATATTATTTGTCGTTTTGCTGTGAGTTATGTGCTTGCATTTTTTTTTTTTTTTTTGTTGCGCAATCCTTTTTTCAACGTAGTGCGCTGTATTCAGATGAACGCTAGGTTTAGCTTTTTTTATCACTCTTCTTGCTCTAATGAGAAATGGGTGCTAGGTTAGTTGTTGTGTTGTTAATATACATTTGCTATCAATGTATACTCTAATCTAACAAAAGTTTACAGATGTCTTCTCCAAATCGAATTATGGGAATTTGTCTGGTGCATTGTACTTCAACTACTGCAGGAATTATCGAATATTGCAAGGATAAAGTTTGTTGTAGGAATTATCTTTTTATAAGCAGTGCAAAAAGTGCAATTTTTTGTTTGTTGAGAATTAGAATTTATTTCGAATTTAAGGAAATCCCAGCTTATTATAAAGGACTTCATAATACAATGCACCTTCAATATTTGCTTATATATTGCTTGCACTTGATCTTTGAACCTTTCCATTCTCGTTTATTTTGTTTATAATTTGTTTACTATGAGCTATGTGCCTAATCGTTACAGCTCATCAACATGCGGCTTGAGTCAGGTGTCATGTCACAAGGTGCGTGGGACTACCTTGCAATGCACAAGTTTGGATCTGTAAGTTTATAGTTTCAAGGAGTTTTCGATGTAGTGAGCGAAATGCGATATTCATGTTTTCATTAACACATATAGTTCGGAAATAATTTCAGCTAATATCTTTTTTAGACCGACAAACGAGAAAAGCAGGCATATATTGAAGAACTGAAAAACTGCTTGAATCCGAAGAATCTTAGCAAGTATCTTTATAGTTTTTCGAAAAGGAGTGACATATCATCTCTCATTGGCACTAAGTTGGATAAGTTAGTTTATATTTTTGTCATCGAATGAGTGGCAAAATTCACTAAATGTGAGGCTTTGTTTATCGAAAAAAAATGAATGTTGCACCATTCAGGTTTTTGATTGTTACAAATTATTTATTTATTTCAACTTTCTATTTAAGAACTAGACTTAGATTTTTTTTAAACTTAGATTACTTTTACCACAACATTTAATCCAGATTGTTGATTAAAAATTAGTCTTGCATCTAGAACAAATTTATAATTTTCATTAGTAAGTGAAACATTTACAGCATGGATGCACTCTTGGTTACTGGTGCACGGGCATCACATTTACATACTGTCTACACTACACATAAGTCGATGAATAAGCGGAAAACGACACTGTTGGTCGTGGATAACGTTAGTGATGTGATGGCTGAAGCGGTTAGCTCTTTAGGAGTTGGAATTTGATGCAAACTGTACTTCAATATTTTCAATATTTTGCAATTAAATGATCTGTACCTCTCAAAATAGTTTGAATTTTTAGCCCGAAAAGCTGGCACGTTCGTTAATTTTATTATGTAAAGGTTGTGGTGTGTTATCTGGAGTAGCCATTCCTGGGATGGAGAGACAGCGCACACTAAGCAGGTTTATAGAATTTCCATATTATTTAGAAGGAAGAAGACTGAAATAAATTTTCAGATTATAAAAAGTGAAGATATGTTTTCAAACGTTTTTAGCTCAATGGAAGAAGCAGATCGTCCACGACGCTTTTCGCTTTCACAATCAACAGCACCTGTTTTTCAATGACATTGTTCTATATTTTCATAAAAGTGACCAATTTGGAGACCTTCTTTTTTGGCTCAAAGTTAGTTCAAAACAGAATTTCAGTGAGTGCATGGCACATCAGTAATTTGCATGAGTTGCTTTTTGTTTGGTACATGAAAAATCAGATCATTTTTTAAAATATCAGTTCCAGAAGACTGAAATCAGATTTCTGAGCACTTTCATATGTAGCTTAAATCACAAGCATCTAAGTTGATGAATCGATTTTCATGTACCATTATATCTCTGAATTCTGTTCGTCTCTTTCTCTCCATTAAAAAACTTGAAACTAACATTCTAGTCAAATCTCCTTGACACGCTTTTCATCCATAATGCAGCACACTTTTAAGGTAGGTAAAACTACCAAAATCAAGCTAGTTGTGTTCCAGTTTTTCTCAGTAACACTTTTTTGCCACAGCATGGTTGTTCAACACTTAAAATAGATCAAGTTTAACCACAAAAATAATGGATTCCTCTGCAATTTTTTTAAACCCATCTCCCTTGTATGCCAGAAAAATGCGTGAATGGTCTACTAGCTGTTTGTTTTTTCCAAGTGCCATTTCTTCCTTTTCTTTTCTAGGTTTCATATTTCAAGTGAGCGTCCCTTTCCCGAAATGATGGGAAGTCTTGACTCACAGTTCGATTTAAAATTATCCTGTCGCTTATTCCTACTAAACAACGCCATTTACTTTACCTCACGAAACTTCCAACATGATAAAGATGGATCATTGTCATCAACCTTGAAATTAATCCTTCTTTCTTAAGGATTCCTTCTTTTATAGTCAAATCCATTCCTTTTTTTATCTTGAAGTTTGAGCGGCATCATTATTCTTCCACATCCATTCAATATCCATTCTGCCCTTTGCATCAATTTATCATTGGCTTCTCGCCTCGCATCCTTGAACACTTGTATATATTATAACATACTTCACGGACGAAATAAAATTTAACTTGGAAGTACCTTAATTGTAAACTTGTATGTCTAAAAAATAGAATACAACAATCAGTGTTCCGTGCGCTGCAGAAATCTTGTTGTTACTAAATTTATTGGGCGTGAAGTGAAGGGAATTTCAGCATGTATTTTATACCATATAGTATGTGAAGTCATGAGCTTACGGAACATTTCCCTTGAAGCCCTTAGACCGAAGAATAAAAGTAGTGAAAGGATTTTTTCGTAAGCATATGACTATGAAATGCCAATTCTGTCTAAATCGTATGCCTTTCCTAAGGCAGGGCTGTGCAACATGTCCAACTAGTTCTATTCATCTTGTGAATTCTTAGAATTTCACCTTTTCCAGCATTTCAGCGGTAGTTTTGGAGAAATGAAAAAGGAAAGATTATGCCAATACTCTGAAGCTATAACCTTAAACCCATTATTGAAAGAAAAAATTAAAATTACAGAAGTTAACTACTGTTTTTTTCTGCTGAATATCATTTGGTGAAAAAAGGTCGAATTTTATTTCCTAACCTGAAGCGAAGGAACGATAAAATGTTGTAACTATAATATAATGAAAGATTACTTAGTTTCTAACAATGACCACCTAAATTATTTTTTAATACAATGATATTGGGATTATATCAGTTCATAAAAATGAGCTAATAAATTTGGCACTATAAACATCAAAGATTTTCAACATTTGTTCTGCAGAAGAGACACTGGAAAAAATGTGATAGGAAAACAATATCAAAAGCGATGAAACCAGTACAACCAAAAATTTGTTTTTCGTTCGTTATTACTTGCTATCGTGCCTAGAATCTTGATTTTTCCCATCCGTGGTATGCAATTCTGAAGTGAAAAATTAACAGATATCTATTCTAATGGAATAATGGAAATATCTGATTACATAATAAGAAATACAACTAAGGCTGTATGTAAAGCTGATCCTGCGATAACAATAATGTCATGTATCCCCACATGGATGGGTCGCGTCGCAGCAGGGTTCGCTTCTTACCAGCCTTATATAACACCCATAATGCAATAACAACAAGTAAAACTAGAGATATAATCCAGTATGCGGGGATTCGGCGACCAGCTATTTGATAATTAGGATGTTGCGGTTTATGCGTAGTTCCACTAAGTGGAAAATATCTGCAACAATAAATCTTTAAAGCAACGATGAAATGTATGCTATATGAATAAGCTAATTAGTCAATTAAAAAACAGCTCATGACCTTCAAAAAAAAAAAATAAATAAATAAAATAAAATTCTTTGAAACAGGTTCTACAAATTGTACCATTTCCAACATAATTTTAAACCCTTCCCCTCACTACAAAAATTATTGAAACTCACAGAGTCTCGGTTTTAAAGTCATCAGCAACTGGTCAGAAATCAATGAGGAATTATTGCTAAAATTAATAAGTGAAACCTCATATGATATAATAAAGCTCCTAATGCCCAGTGTGCTTCTTGTCCATTGACATCAAGAACAGATCGGAAACGATTGTAAGTTTTACTAATCAAAAAGCCCTCATGAAGAACAGCTGTTATCCAAGCTGATTTAAAACACTGTGATCGCAGTCGATCTTCATCCGCTTTTGGATAGACATTATTCCGATACTGTGTCTAAAGCTATGTCAATATATTCACTTTCCATTTGGATAATGTAAGTAAAGCATAAAACTTTTCCTAAAAATGATAAGGTAGGCTTCAGACACAATAGCACTAAAAAAAATCCCAAAGGTTTAAAATTACGCCTGACATGCGAGAGAAATCCGAATACTAAAAGCTTTAATGGCTGATGAATCGTAAGTTTAAGAATGACGGTATGAAAGGTATAAAAAATTAAACATTTCTATAATTTACTATATTAATATAATACCAACTTGTATCGTCGACCATTTCATATGACAAAATTGACGTGCTCTCGATGCCGTTTTACTGAAATCATATTGTCCACCCATGAATAAGACATTTTCCAGTGAAAACCAATACTCACTGAAGCCATATAGTTCAATTTCTGATAGCGAAATCGAAGGGGAACGAACTAGTCCAAATAAACATTTCTCTATCTGACATTTCGGATTCGCCACTGTTGCCGTTAATAAAGACGCCAGATTCTTTATACAAGTATCCCAATCCCCTATACCCTAAAAAATTGAAATCTTTTGCCGTAAATCTAATAATATAAAGCATAGAGTGCAATAGCTTTTGCGCTATTTAGTATAAATATATAAGGATGGATCCTATTAGAAAACGCTATTAAGTGCAAAAGTAATAACAGCATTTATAACATCCGAATTTGAGTTTCAAATTAGGAACCATCATTAAAAAAATGCAGTTGTATTATATCATTTTAATGTATATCTGCTTTATATTCTTTTGCTAATGACTTATTATTTCTGTTCATTTTCTATTTATTTTAGGCTGAAGGAATGACATTAGAAAAAACAAATTTGACTGATTTCTTTAAGTTTATCACGGGTTATAAAGTAGCTAGGGTAAACTCAATATCAATAGCAGTTTTGGCCCATGAATGGTACAATTCACACCTTTTCAAACAATTTAACGAGAGTAGTAAAAGTCGTGAAGGAAATTTTATCAAAAGTTAATAAAATTTTCATCGCCAAAAGTTGACTGACATTAATCTAATCGTCGAAACTTATCCTTTCACAACTGCACAGGAAATTAGTAAAGAACACACGCCACTCAATGGTCATTTAAATTTGAAGCATTCAAAATGTGAAAAAATCATAATGAGTTCTTCACGAGATGTCTGAAAACAATAAAAAAAAAATCTGTCTCCGTTGTTTCTCAGTCGGACTATTAATAAGCGGTGGAAAGTAAATTATACGAACTGGCGACGACTATATATTAGTGATTGGACGAAAAAAAACTCCAAAGCACTTCTCAAAGTTGAATATGCTCCAAAATGATCCCTCCTTACAGGCCGACTGCCAACACAACTTTCTGAATCCCGACGAAACCATTACACCTGAGATTGAAAGGCAACGCTATAAACTGACATTTGGTCAACAGAAAGAAGAGATTCACCACTTGGGCAACAACGCTTCAAAAATTAAAGAAAATTGGCAAAGAAGTTCTCCTTCACCGTTATATTCACCTGATTTCTCATCAAATGATTGCCAATTCTTCAATTATCTGAATTACTCTTGTGAGAAAATTCATCCATGACCGAGAAAAATAGTTAAACCAGTCAAATCTTGTGCCACAAACTGTAGCCTTATTTGTCGTTGGCCAAAACGTATTAAATGTCACCGTTGCTTATTTCGATTAATGTGAGTCTGGTTATAATAACTTAAAATTTACGATCCGTTAGTTTTGCATTAATCTAATTAATTTGAGGAACTGAATACAAACTAGACAAAAACTAACCTTTCGACTAAATTGTGAACCATCTTCATTTTTGACTGTTTTGAGCAAATTGACTGGCAAGCACGGATCTCGTACAAAAGACTTGTTAGTATTTTCCACAGCCAAGTCGTTGCTTAATTTTTGTTCATATTTCCGAAGAGCTTCATTCACGCCATAGCCAAGAAATGTTGTCACAAAGAGTCGGTAACTAAAATATGTTATTTTTCGTAAGTGGTCTTTTATAATAAGTAAGTGAATATAATAGAAAATCGTGAAGAAACCTGTATGCCTGTTCATTATCATTGCAGCTTAAGTTGACGCTTTCCACAGATTCACCAGTGCCACTTGTTAAATTTAACTCAACAGCAATTTGTACCGATGCGCCACCCATATCTATTATACCCACCGTAGGCTGCCGCGAAGATTCCGTTCTATTACGAGTGAACCTGAAATAGATTCATTCCTGTAAGAATAAAAAGATCATGGGTACATCAACTAAATTAATAATAAACAGATAAGACTTCCCAAAACTGAAAAACCAAAAAAAGCAACTAACCGCCCAAGGATATAATTCACAGCAATCCAGAAATAAATACCCTCCCATTTTCCTTCGATAACTTTAATATGGTCTGGAATGATTTGTACGCTTGTTTGAAAAGGCAGATTTCGGTGTAGATTTCGTAACACTTCATTTTGTTTTCTGAAAGAATGCACTGCAAAACATTGGGACAAGCTTGATTATTTACGAGAACTCTCACAACAAATTGAAGATAGTACAAAAAGACCGACCACAAATCTTCAGATGTAACGATTTTATGCCATTCTAATACACATTATAAAAAATTAAATTCACTACTCTACGGGAAGAAGACGCATTCCAGCTGTCGCGAATATGAAGAGGGATGTATACGAATGCTTATTCAACGGAATAAATTCAATTGCATAGTCGAGAAGAGGCTTAATATATTCTGAAAATATATGAAAGATATTTATTTAAAATGATTTCTTCAATTAAAAGTTGCAAGGAATTGGAAAACTCACTTGCATTTCCTTCAGAAAATATCTCATGTATTATTTTGAAAGCACATTTGGAAATAGGATTATTTCTTATCGGTATTAATGTAGAATAAATGGCAAAGAGTAAAAAATATGTGAAACACCGGCAGCATCCTCAGGTTTATCTTGAAATGAAGATAATCCAGGAGTGATCTTTTTCACAACAGGACGTAACGATAAATTATCCACAACTGGTTTTATATCGATTAATTCCTGATCATTTATAGAACGGTATTTGTAAAGAAAAAGACGAGATCCCGTGGAACCGGCATCTATTACTATTGAATAACTCCATTCTATTTGATTTTTATCCTCTAAAATAAGATAAACACAGAAAGTCTTCAAGAACATTAAATTTAAATTCCTTAGCAACAAATGAAGTTCAGAAGACTCCAATGCATCCGAAAATTTCAAAACAAAAAAAAGTAAGCGACTAATATATTTTTTTACCAATTGCGTCTGTCGAATTCGGTAAAACAGAAAATAACAGTAGAATGACAGCAAAAACCACAAGTGCAGCAACAACAAACAATTTCAACATCCCATGGGACATTACCCTTTCAATATCCTAAGTATTCGTAACAACCGCTGTGATAGCATCTGAAAATTCCTTTAAAATTTGAAATGCATGTGTTACGTACAGTGATAGTAACCAGAACGCTCAGCTTGCAACGATGATGCAAATTTGAAAACACAACATACATCAAGGGTCCGAAAAAATGGTTCGATAATACACGAATTATGAAGTGGCATGTGATTTTGCTTAATCTGTTGATTACTTATTAATTCACCAACAATCCCATTATCTTCTCACTGCAGGAACCTTTCTTTTCCAATAAATGCCTGAAAAAGAAAAAGCTACCGTTCAACTTGCCAAATTACATGCAAGTTATTTTCTTTTAAAATACAACCAAATACTAATTAGTGGTTTTTTCATCAAATCCACTCTATACTTTATGACATACTTCCACCTCGGACCAAACATATGTCAAAATAAATTCAAATTTTCTTATTCTTGACAATAATCCTTACTGATAAAGAAGTATAATTATTTCGAAAGCATTTTATACATATACACTGTGATACGAACAGAGAGTATAAAAAGATCTCAGTATATATCTTCGCTGTTTCATTTTATTAAAGCTATGAGGTTTCAGGTAAAAACTTTAATAATTTAACACTTCATTCAGAAAAATACATAAAAAATGTCAGAACACATCAAAACACACAATATAACTGCAAATATCTAAACATGAGCCAAGTGGTATTTTAAACATTGCACAATACACCAAATAAATAACAACATTCCATTTGTTGAATATTTTATAATTTAATAGATACACTTGGACGCCTGATAAAACTTCAAACCTTAATTTCCAAGAAATACAAATATCTGAAACAAAACCAACAAAAATACAGCAGTTTCCTGAAGCACAGTTCTTCCATACAAATGTTATACGAATAAATAGTATCTCTTAAAGAGAAAGAGAAAGATGAATAAATAAAAGAGGACGAAGCTGCTTTGGGAAAAAATTATCTAACAATCACAATGGCAAACACTATTAACGTACAACGACAGCATAAATATCACCGTGCGATATACCTTTATTACGTTTCACTGCAAAGGTGGAATTTCTGCTGAATTCTTCAGACCGTACATCCTGAACCGAACAACATCAAAAATATTTCAAATAACTGAACTTTGCAGGTAAAGAAATATAGAACTTCAGCTGATCACACCCAGTTACTACATTATTGTTTTTTCGTCCGCTAATTTCAACATTCCACCTCATAAATTAAATTTTCCTTCATCAGTGGACAATCCATTAAAAAAATTGAAGTGTAAGGGTTACCTCAGTTTTTCATTCGCGTATACGGAATGTTTGACAATCAGTGGTGACTGTGAAGAACTCTCTTCATGCAAAACCTGAATTATCTTTTCCAAAACATCTTCAGCACCGCTGGCACAACAGTAAGCATGTATCCTATTTAATTCCTGAAAATATATAAAAATGGCAAATATTGACGATTACGAATAAGGAAGTGTTTCAACAAAATGACACATTTGTAAAGATATTTGTTGGTACCGAATAAAACAAGAACGTTCTGTCGGGAATCTTCTTCAATAATCGAGCAATTTTCTGCATATCACTTTGCAACCCATGCACCTCATACCAACATGTTCTTTGTAGTGAAGAATAAGAAGGTCTAGAAAGGCCATCATTCCTGATACAGAACAACTGCTCTTCATTTCCAGCATCTACAATGCTCTGCAATGTTATCCAAATATACCGATTAAAGCAACAATTCCACTTACGCATCATCGCAAAAAAAGAGATGTTACAAAATAAAATTTTCTTTATGGGAAAATTTAACAAAATCCGTGAAACAACCTGAGAGCACATTGTACTGAATGAAGGCAACCAGGAAACTGGCATTGGACCCGGTGGGAATAATGCAAATACAAGTCGAGAAACTGAAGGATCTTCTTCCTTTGCACTAAAACAATTCGATATCCAAAATTAAGTAATAATGTCAAGGATCCACTTATTCTGGAACAGATACATACTGATATTTCTTGTAATTTACTTCAAAAGTTAATACAAAAAATGTCCAAAAAATTACCTAATATGGCACAATGCGCCATATAATTTTTTATTCAAGCGACAGATGGCTACACTTTCCTCTAAGTGCAGTGAGGAGCACATCAAGTTTAGAAAATCTTCACTATCTGAAATGAGAATGAATTTGAAAAGCTTCCAAGACCTTCGTGGGATGATAAGTAAAAATCAGTAGGAAAACATACTTAATTGTGAGATAAGAAAATGATGTCGAATGGTTGGCATATTTGCCAAATAATTTACGGGAATAAAACCAATTACTTCAATAACTGTGTTCCAATCATCGCTGTCTACCGATGGTAGCGTCTAAAATTTGACGATTAAAATCAGCAGCGGGTACACATTACTGCTTCGATTTTCAGACAGAAAGATGCAATTTAGATCAGGGAAATCTTTTAGTCAAAACTATACCTTGAAATATGCTTTTAAAAAGCCACATTTTAACAAAAATGTTGGTACAGGACACAAATCTTTTGCAAGAGCATCACTATAACTGTCTATGGTATCGTAATCGGACAAGAAATACGGCATCCAAGGTCGACTGTCTTCAAAATCAAATTCCTCCTTGAAGCCTTCCGTCAGCACTAAAATAATATTTTTGGGTGTTGTTTGGAGATAATAATACTGATAAAACATAGCACAAGCGATTGAACAATGTTGACAATAATTCATAATGTGTGAACATCCAAATCGCTCATTCATGCCTATGTATGAAAATAGTTGTTGAAGAAGCCGTACATAAACCAGATAAAAAAATCGCAATGACCGTTTAAACATACATGAAATGGCCCATAATCGAGCAATCTGATTCTCATCCGTTAAAACTTCATCCAGAACACAAACAAATTTGACTGTACAATTCGGTAGATGTGTCAAGTTCACTTCCTCCTTGAATTACCGAAAGAAATCCCAATCATTGAAAATTTGTATAAAGTTAGAGGCACTGAAACTATATTAAAATGAATGAAAAAGCTTACCTACCGGGGTGAAAGTACATGCATCCGTAAACACTAGAAGGATGCTAGTTTCATCGTCATTTTCCATCTTTACCAGTAAGAACAGCGAAATTAGATCAGCTGAGGCAGATATATCTATGCTGAAAGACTCTCATCAATTTCTGAAATTGTAATGTAGTCTCCAATTTATAAACGAGTTTATGAAATTCTTAAGAAAATGAGTCGATCGATGAAGAATCTCAGTCCAGACAAAAGTGACAAAGAGACCCAATGAAATCTTTATAAAAGATAACAGATAAGTTTGAGTAATTTAGTGAACATGCTCCCCATCAAAACCAAAAAACGAACAGTTTTAGAATTTCAGCACAAATCTTCATCCCACATAAATACAAGAAAAAGTCGTTTAGCCAACACAAACCAATTCAAAAGTTTCTCGGCATCTTCAATGCTTCGCATGTCGCATGGTATAATTTTTGAATTGTGTGAGAAATCAATCTGAAATAACAGTCTTTTTTCATCCATGCAGTTTCCTCCTAATTTTAATTACTTGTGATGCTTTTGCGTCCATGCGTCAGCAACCGATACAGTGTTAGTGAAATACGAAAAAAAAAGTAACATTCCCTTTGTCGTTGTCAAATCCATGTACATCAATCTTCATAAAATATAACACATTAGGAAAAGATAATTTGAAATAAATACGAAGAAATTCAAAATAAATGAAACAGACCAACTTAATCTTACGATCCATATCCAAGGTTTGAACCTTTTCAATAGTTTTCAAAACTAGCTGACATGCAATCATCCGTCTAGACATTTCATTGCTCTCGCTAACAGGCAGTCGCATTGATAACGATGAATCCACGGCCAAATACACAGCCATTTGTGAAAATACAGCAAATGAGACCGCCAAACACTTTCCAATATCGTCCTGGAATGTCAGTGCCGCTTTCGATTCCACATAGTTAAAGTGAAACAGTTGTATTCCGCTCTCAAAATAGCGACTCAGCTCTCGTAAAGAGTAGTGACGTGACTCAACAAACTCAGCCTTTCCCTTTCCCCCCTGCCAACTGTAAGGTCGGGAATTGGAACATTGCACCTGTTATTCCATGTCGACTAATATGAAACCTTTGAGTCTCATTTCCGGACCTACTAGTGAATCAATGTATCTAAATCTACGGATAATAGACTTAATTTCTGAATTTTATTGTTGATTTTTCACCATTGAAAAATGTATATTAAGTTATTGCAAAAATTGTAAGCTTATCAACGTCTGAAGTGTATATCAGAACAAATATGGAATTTATACTTAGACAAATCTGTTGTAGCATATGAATTCAGCAAAGCAGACAGGTTATCGGTCAGGAATATAAAGAGGGAATTTTGCAATCAGAAGGCTACTTTAACTTTTAAAGTAGCCTTCTGATTGCAGTCCCTCTCTGATCCTTTTCTTCATGAAATTAAATAACATTGAATATCCAAAAGAAAAAGAAAAGATTTAAAACACATATTTTAAAGAATATGCAAGAGAGTGATAGAAAGCATATGTAACACACTTCAGACAAAAGAAAACGAAAGCAGAATTCGATTATATCACATATATGTATATATCAGCTAAGATTCACTCAACAAATAGCCTTTGTATAATGATCGTATCCACAATGATAGCTCTGTCAGCCTTAAATACTGCCAAAAAAACTGGCAAAAAATTTAAGCAAACTGAGATAACAATAATGCACTACCGCTGTAGAAGTCATCTTATCTTAATAAAGTAATAGCAATGATAAATGAGCTCTACGATATGCTAAGTCGGAAAATTCAAAAATTACTCAGAATCTTTTCAATGTTTATCGTTTCTTCCGTCTATCCTTATTCATGATGTTAATAATTAATATTGTGAAAGAAATGAAGTCCACTTTTCCAATAAGTATTGAAAACTTTAGCCTAATTATAATATGCTCATTATTTTAAAAAGTTTACAAATTTTCTAGATATTCGGAAAATAGTAAAAATAAATAAAAAATGTCTTACTTTACTTCATTTATTTGAAATATTGACATATAATATTATATTAAACTGTTATTTAATCTTGTCTTAAAAACTTATTAATTTCATCTGATTCTATTAATTTGATTTTTCTTAAAAAAATGAAATTCATTAATTTTTTAGCGTAGCAGTCCTTCGTAATATGAAGAGAAGAAGAGAGGAATGAAAATGAAAGTTGAGGGATAAAAAGTAAAAAAGGAAGAAGAAAAAGAAGAATGAAGTACGATGAGATACGCTTCCAAGGAATTACTTTCGTCACTTTGTCCACGCCTCAAAAATTCTTGAAAAAGACGTGTCCGAGCAATTTTGCTTGAGAGAAATACCGACTCGTATCTAATACATTTCTCATCTCCCACATATTCATACTTACTGCTTTGCTATTTATTGCCGTCTATAATGTATTCTGTGATTTTAAACGTCTTTTATGTTATGTATGTATTTCTATGTACGTATGTATGTTTGTGCATATCACAGATATGTCACAGATCAAACGTCGCTCGTATAAAGTAATGATCAATTTCTTACTCATAAAATTAAAGTGGAGTGCTTTCTTTATCTACAATAATATTCTTTATCTACAATAATATATATTTTCATCCTATAAAGCTGTTATTCTTTTTTTTTGCCATGAATTATTTGATTTAAATGATTTAGTCTCATATCAATCATTGATAGTGAAATTAACTAGGTCAATGAAATTACTTGTCAGTATGTAAAACCAAAAGAGCAATAAGTACCGATTTTATTCATCTTTTGTTTTTCCTTTATAATAATTCATTTTTAAAAAAATCATTCCAAGTTTAATTCTAGCTTGTAATAAAAAAAGAAAGTTAAGCAGGAACAAGAAATAGGAAAAGTGATAAAATAGATTCAATGATAAGATAAATTCAGTGAAAACTTAACCGAAAACCTGACAAGTTAAAGACAACATGTAAAAATGCACTAAATAAGAAACTTCATTTTTTTTATAGCAATATATAATTTAAAAAAAGACTTTTGCCATATTTTTCGACCTGAACTACAAATGACTGTTGCAATGTTCAAATCGTTTTATCCATGTATTGAGTACTAATATTCCATTAATATCTAGCGGATAAACCTTAAGCAATTTCTAGATTTCCAGATGCTCGATATAACTCGATAACACAATCAAATGTTCTTTATACATTATTATCCCAATTTTTCATCATAGACTAACTTTTGGTTGAAAAACTATAACTAACTGAAATTATAAACGAAAAAAAAAAAAACATAAATCTCCTTTTTTTCTTGCTTCTTATTTGAACCACTCTTATTCCTCTACCAAGGAAGTTAACAAAACTTACTCAACATTCCGGAAAAGCTTTCATAGTTGATATTATTGAGCATACATAAAATATAAGGTTACTAATGCATCTTACATGGACGTGATTAATATGTTGCAGTATAAAACTTCAATGCATGTGCTCAACCATTAAAATCTAGGAAATGTGGTAAAATTTTCACAGAATCTTGCGAAGGAAAAGTGCCAAAGAAGAAGAATTGCATATTTCTATTGCGACATATATATATATATATATATATATAGCTTGCATAAAGTTTATAAATGTATATTTTTTACAGTCCACAGCTACAATATAGTTATTTTTTCATAAATTTAAAGTTTTTTATTCTTCCAACATTATTTTCAATACTTTTCCTGCATTACTTCCTTCGAATTGTATTGTATTATTAGGAACAAAGATTTTTTAAGAATGGCCTCTTTATTTTATTTTCTTACCAGTAAACTATTTTTTTACTAGTAAATACCAGTCAAAATTCTTATTCTAAGTTAAGATACGGCTAGGAAAAGCGAAACTGTGGAGGGCATCATTTCAAAAATATTTAAAATTTCAATAATGAACTGATCCAATTGTATTTATTACCAAAGCATTATTAAAAACAGCCTTTTTTCCCGTAAGCAAAATCAATAAATCAGTTTCATAGAATATTAATTAATGAGCAAATTCCTTGCATTATGTATTAAGTGTAACAATTCCAGCTCATTCTATTGTTTGAAAAGGTTTACAACTGAATCCAATCTTGTGGCTTTCATTCAGTTTTCTGGTCACAAATTTATTCATCCCCATTTGTTGGATAATTTCATTTTGAAAATGAAAGGATAAGTGACGAAGATCGCAGGAAGAGACGAGAAAGTTGAGAGAGATGGCAGGATTGCGCCCCTCTCTTCACATTTTAGTTTGGCGCATACATATTATGTCACCGTCAGCATTCTTTCTAGCAAACATCGAGCTAAATGGAACTTCAATGAGTTTTGTATTCCATCTTCCCGTGACATAAGCATGCACACACTTGTAAACATTTTTTTTTTTTGCTATTTCCATCCTTATTTTCGAACATTTTTTTCGTTAAAATTTCTTGAAAATCCCATTTCATCTTTGGTAAGAATCGCTGACAATCTCTCCTACTTACTTACACCTGCTTTCGCATAAGCATATATCCTTTCCTACTCATCACAGCAATCAAAAAAAAAAAAAAAAAAAAAAAGCTTTGAGCAACTGACAATTAAAATGAACAGGTGATGTGTTATTAAAACAATTTTTCTAGTGACTGACATAACAGAGCAGATCTCTTATGGAAAATGAATTGAGTACAATTGCACATTGCTTCAAAGACAACTACTTTACATTCTTCATATGATAATAACTCGCTGAGAGAAGCAGTTTTTTATTAGCGATATATATATATATATATTTGCACATTTATTAATTGAAGATCTGAAGCTTAGCTAATCAGGCTTTTTACCTATAAACTAAGAAAAGGTACTGGAAATACAAGAAGTAGGAGACAAAAGAAAGGAAGAGAAGTGAGGAAGACAGTATCTTTATTGTGCTTATCTGTTGCTTACATATCACTTCGGATGGATGATTCGGAGCGAAGATTCCTGTCACCTCATTATTAAGAGGATGGGACAGTGAGAGAGGCCATTCTTTCCTTAAAAATATCAATAATGCAACAGCAGGACATATTTACACTTAGTGTCCAACTTCGATAATTATCAAATTGCTGCAGTTTGAAAAGCTGGCTTCTTCGTGAGCAATTCATGCATCCCATCCTAACTTATTACTGAGTTATTTGTAAAATGTAAATTGCTGTCATCCTCGGCGTTTAACTGAGATTTTTAAAGCCTAATCTCTACTTTTACTAAAAAATGATTTTGTGAAAATTCTGACGTATTATATTGATAGACAGAAAAGAAATTTCATTATTTCTGTATTTGATAGCTGTTGTTGTTGTCTTTTTTAAAAACCCTTTTTCATTTCTCTATCCTGTTTTTGTGATAACTGCATTTCGTAAACAGTTCAACTTAATAGATCATTGTAGGACAAACTAGTAGGCATAACCGATCAGAAGATAAGCATCTGCTCATAAATCTGCAGTACGAATAAGGTGATTTTATTACGGTTCATTTTCAATGCTCTAGAGCTGAAATGATAGATGATTTCATCCGGTAATTTTGCTAGAGGTCAGCACCTATGTAGTCTTTATGATTTTTAACCTTGCATAATGTCGAATTATTACCGGGATGTATAACAATAGAGATATCACCTCTAGAACCAAATTAATTTTAGCAAATGATGAAATAGTTATGCTTGCCATTAAAGAAGAGTCAATTTATTTTCTTTACTGACTTTATAGTCATTGTCGATTAACAAGATGCAACTAGGATTTCAGAAAATGTGTAAAATTGATTGCTCATAAGTAGTTGTTCCTGAAGGAAGTGGCAATAATCAGAATCTTTGCAAAAAAAAGAATATTTGCAGTCAACAATTTGAAATTAATGGATGATATGACAAACGTTCTTCTTTTTCCTTTTTTTTTTTTTTTTTTTTTTTTTCACAAAAAATATCGTTATAGAAATAACTATAAATTTATTTGCTGGATAATCACATCAGAGTACTCGCAAACTAATAGATTTGTTTCAAAGTTTGATTATGAATATGGTATGATTAAAGAAGTCTGTTTGTTCTGTAATTCTAAAGAAATTTTTTTTAAAGAAAAAAATTATTTCAAGTTCCTTCTCGAAGAAGAACAAATTATTTATTATCCTTTTTCATTTTTACATCTTAAGTACTATGACAACTTTTTACACTAGCATCTATAATTCTGCCATAATTATTTGTAATCCTATGCCAGATGCAAATTTAAGAATACTAAAAAAAATCAGCATAATGAATACTGATTCGTTTTTCTCCCTCCATATATTGTTAAGTTGCGGATAAAAAAAAAAAAAAAAAAAAGAAAAAAAAGAGAAAAACTATCCATCTACTTTAATTGCAGGATTAATGCTACGATGAAACATGCAAGAGGTGCACATCGACTTATTTCTCAACATTTTAAAAGGAAGCGCACTTACGCTTTTGGTTATTTGGACCATTGCTGCCAATATACTTGTATTTGTTGTATTGTATAAAAATCCACATCTTCAAACTGTACCTAATCTACTGGTATTTAATTCATCTCTTGCTTTCCTTAATTGAATCATTACAATTCAGAATTAGAGGTCGTATGATGGTTATGGTTACAGTGAAAATTTTGCAGGTTGCCAATCTTGCCTTCAGTGATTTGTGCCTTGGAGTTATTGTATTGCCTTTATCATCGATCTATGCGATCGCAAATGAATGGCTTTTTACATCGACACTTTGCGTCGTTTTTGTATCAGGTAGGTTTATCTGCTTTTACTGTTGCAAAATAAAAGTTTACTTTTTTATGACAACTTTGAGACTTACGATAAGTCACAAAACTTTTTCCATCGATTCTTCTTGTAATACTAATTACTGTTTGTTTATGAGACTACTTACCCTATTTTCAGGTATCGTTCCTAAATATCCATTTCTAAAAATTTTTGAGGAACTTTCATAGAAAGGAGGAATATTTTCACTATAATTTCTGGCTGTTCGAATATTGTTAGGGATGATCCATCAAACCACAATGCGGACTTTTTTAATCAAACGTAGCATTTTTCCTTATCCTTGAACTACATTAATTTTGCAGCAGATATCTTGTGCTCCACGGCTTCTATTTGGAATTTATCCATTGTTGGTTTAGACCGTTACTGGGCTATAACTACACCAATGGCTTATATGGCTAAGCGAAATAAGCGCACAGTAGCTTACCTAATTTTATCCGTTTGGTTTTCATCTGCTTTGATTAGTTTAGCTCCATTCTTCGGATGGAAACAGGCAAGCATTCAATTTTTCTTTTCTTTTTTTATATGAATGCTTTAAGAAACTTCAACTTTATCATGATTAGATAAGTTATTGTATGGACAGACAACAGTTAATGTTGAAAACTTGATAAGACAATAATGAAGATATCAGTCTATTGTTGAGACTTTATGTGATAATGTTCTTTTAAAGTGAAATCTCACATTGCGTTAAGCTATTTTAACGTACCCAGTGACGGAAATACAATAATACCACTTCATATTGCGCTGTTGTAGAGATTTGTTAAAATCAAGGCCGGAAGTCACATGTAGAGCCTTTGCAGTTTTAAAGATTCTTCGCAAATTCAAACTCATGAAGTCAAAGAATATAAGTTAACAAGTTAATATAAGTTTTTAACGTACCGTCACTGGATAAGTTAAAAGTCAACGAAATTGAGAAATCTTGAAAAACCATTTTTTTTTTTTTTTTTTTTACAAAAACTCATGCATCACTATTAATTTTGCTGCTACGAATATTTAACAATCCTTAAAGGTATTTTTTTCAGATTTTTCCAAATTCCAGTCCAGATTTTAGCATTATTACTCGTAACTAATAATGAAAAGAAGCATTCTGAATTCTTAGTATTTCCATTATCATATGTATCTTACTTGATCAACAATCAGTTCATCTCTCATTTATTAAAATTTTGAAAGAAAATTTTAATTGGTATATCATTTACAGGTTGCGGAACGAGGTAATATGATAAAAATCAATGGTACATGGCAATGCGTATTTTTGGATTTACCGTCGTATACTATTTACAGTGCAACCGGATCTTTTTTTATACCTCTATTTATTATGTTCTTTGTATACTATAAAATTTATCAGACATTTGCTAAACATCGTGCTCGTCAACTATATAGACAACAGGTTTTCTTTGAATTTAGAAAAAAAAGTACATATTTATTAGCATTATCAGAATTTAGACGAGTAATATTTGTAAAAAAAAATATATATATAATGGAAAAAATAGAATTATTTTTAAAATTTGTTTGAGATGAAAGGTGTTTTTATAGGTAATTAAGAAACATATTGAATCAACGATTTTGCATGACTTGAGTCATGTTTTACCTACCAATGATAGATTTGCTAAGGAAGTGGAAAAAAATAAAAAAGGTTAGATTTATTACTATTTTATATTTGCAACAAAATGGCTTAGATTGTACTATCAAAAATGTAAAAATAAATTAAGGATTTTTTTCTTGGCACTTTTGATATGAAATATTTAAATGTGAATTTAATTAATCACCAAAACTGGGATTTTCGAGGGCATAAAGTATTTAAAAATACATAAGTTTACGATTTTAGCTAAAAATAAATATAGAGTTTCAAATGTAGTGTTTTCAGTACTGAAAAACTCACTTCAAAATTATTTTATTAAAGATTTGAATTTTACAAAAAATAATATCTTAAAAAGTCAGTTTTGAATTTGAATATATAGGAATGATTAAATCAGACCTGAGGATTCTTACAGTATTATAATTTTGCTTTAGAAAAAAATTCCACTCCTCATGTTTACAAAGAAGTTCGACCAATATGCAAAGAATGTGAGGAATGCGTCGAACAAGCAAACAAATTCAGTGTTGGAGAAGTACGCACCATCAAGATTGATGCTGTTTATTTTTATAATTTTCGTAACAGTAATTACTTAATTAGGTGATGTATTCTAGATTAAAACTTCAAGCTTCATAAAACGTATTGATACTATAGCTACTTAGTTTTTCAAACTTGATGTCATTAATTATAACACAAATTTTAATAATATTCTAAGTATTATTAAATCAAAAAAGATATATGAAGCGAATCAAAAGCCACTCTACTAGTGTTTTCTGGACCTCCGTGGAATATATCATTTATAAAAGATGTGGAATTAATCCAGAAGTAACTACCGTTGAAAGTTATTATGTTATTTGCATCCGCGGCAGAGTTTCGAACACACATGGAATCACGTCAAATTATTTGCTGTGCCAGATGGCAGTGATGATTTACGTTGTTTATAGTAACACGCTTGTTTCCGCTTCTTTTTCCCACGCTTATTTTATATAACTCCGTTACAAATTGATAAAGGACAATTGACAGAGATGTGGGACATCTTTGCTTGACTCATTATGATACTCTAATTAATTGTTGATCTGCAATAGTAATATTGCAAGAATGTTTGATTTAAGTTTTATCTTAAGTGAGTTAATTGCTCTAAACTATGCTAATCTTACAAATTTTCAATTTAAAATTATGAAATCTTACATTTTGCAAATTTCTATTTTCGAAATTTTAAGAGACATTCATTTTTCTTCCTGAAATCAGTTACAGCATTTGAAAATTTTCAAAATGTACTGTTTTTCTACTTTAATATTATCTGTAAAACCTCACACATGAATCGCTGCAAATATGCAATTTAAGAATATTATTTTTGAGGTATGAGACTTTACTTTCGTCGATTGTAAACAGTTTTAATGAAATCAGGAATCAAACAAAAGAAAAATTATGCAAGGCGCAAAATGTCATAAAGACCAGGAAAGAGCAATAATAACAACAGAAGCAGCAACACGAATCACCAGCGCAATCAGTGATACTGTCATTGTATCAGAAAATAATATTACGACAGGAAAGAAATCAATGAAATGTTATCATTGTGGTAAAACCGAAATAAGCAAAATGCATGTGGTACAATATCCTAGAACATTATCAAATCCAAAAGTAACATACGGAAGGAAGCGACTTCACTCGAAAAGGTATTGCATACTTCAATTTAAGGTAAGAATAAAATTGAGAAAGCATAAAGTATGTTTATTAAATATGAAATGAATGAAATTAATGAAAGACGAAAATAAATGAATACTAAAAAACCATCAAGGACGGATTTAACATTTATTACAAAGATGATATTGTTAGGTTGACAAATCATATCCTTCATTTATCAACTATTTGACATTGTCAAAAATAAATTTTGATCTCTGAAACATCTGACAGCAATTTTTCGGTCTGTTTGAAGTTTTCGGAAATATTTAGAGCAGTTTCTTTGGCAAAACTGAGTTCAGTAAACAATGTGTGATAAGATTGGAGCTAAATTTATGAATTTGTTTAGTTTGAGAAATAACAATTAGAAATTGAAAAATTAAATTACGCCTCATTGTTCGAGTTCTTTTTTTTGCAGACAGATAATTATTTCACAACACAAACCAAAAAGTATTTCAACAGCTAAAGAACGTCGAGGTGTGAAAGTTTTCGGTATTATTTTAGGTTGTTTTGCAATTTGTTGGACACCGTTTTTCATGTAAGTGATGTTTTTAATGCAATAAGATGCAACGCAGCATTACATGATGATGATAAAATTTTAAACTTTAGTATGTACTAAAAATTTTTCTGTGATTCTTTGAATACTCGGAAATACCACTGAAGTTTGCAAATTTTTAAAACATTTCCTGCGGTAATATAGCAAATTCATTTTTAGTTTTAATGATTCCTGGTAGGCTGATCGGTATGCCTTTTGAAGAGTGCTACTTGGAGGCATAAAAAAAGAAACTTCAAATTTCTAGAATGTATGTGGTGGTGCAGTTCTGTTCATCGTGTCAAGTTGATCCGCACATATGGATGTTTATCACTTGGTTGGGATACAGCAACTCAGCAATGAATCCAATCATTTACACGGTATGCTGGAACTGCAGTGTTACTACCTATCATGTGAGGATAAGTAACAAAAATTAAAATTCTTATACTATGATTTCATTCTTAATTTCAGATTTTTAATCATGATTATCAAAATGCTCTGAAGGGATTATTTCGAGGAAATAAACAGCAAAGAGTGTATGTAAAGCGATAGGAACCTCGAAGATTTCAACTAAAGCAAAGTAAAAGCAACTGAACGTGAAGAGAACTGGTATTGTAGCATAATGCTAACAGTAATCTTGATGTCGCAACTTTTCCGTGATACAATAAACTTAGTGTGCTGACGACAGTTACATCAAACTTCTTTATTGTTCATTAAAAACACACTGCATTTTGCAAACAAAATGTTTATAAAATCAGAAATACTAATTTCAAATTAACTAGCCATGATAAAAAAGATGTTAGACAATTCCAATGACTTCAAGGATTTGTATGAAATATTACAACATACTGTATCCGGAATTCAATTTTGCGACTAAGATGCTAAGTTCTTTGATTTTTTCCGCTCCAACTCGGCAGCAACCACCTACCACTTTCACACCTAAATCTTTCCACTCTATCAACTGCTCTATATCGGGAAATCTACATTTGCCAATTCTCCATCTGAAAGAATATTTGCAGTTCCAAATTTGCTGTTTAAAACGGTTACGCCACTCAACAGATTACTGATTAATTAACTGCAGTTTATAAGAAATGTAACCTTGTTTTTTTTTTTTTTTTTTTCCGTTTAATCTCATCAATTATAAACAGTGAAAAAATCTCAAGAGGAAAATACTACAAAGACAACCTGATGCAAATAAAATTACTAAGAAAGAAAAAATGCAACTTTTTGGTGCTATGTTCGTATACTTCGCCACTATTCGGATAAACAATAAATGGCAACGAATTAACTGAAGTACTAGCAGATTGCAATAGCGGTGTTATATAATTTGGTGATGTGCAGTTAATTCCTGAATTAAATTTAGAACCTCAAAATTTTACCCAGAGAAGGTTTTAATATGATAAAAAATTTGCAAGAAAGGATTTAAAAGGAACATACCTATTCCAAGAATACTGGGATGATGTGCAATTTTCTCTACACTTTTGCAAAAATCTTCATTGTGATTGGTTTGCTTATCATTCTGGAAAGATTAGCAAGAATTAAAATATTTGACAGCTTAAAATTAATTTAGGTACTCAGTTAGCAAAAATTAAAGTACACAGCTTAATTTCAATGCATCATTAAATCCAAAATTCACTTTACAAGAGAATGAAATCCAGAAATTATACGAATAACCAATAGCATCCGCTGCTTTCAGTATAGCCAAAGCCTCTTTGTATGATGGAACTGTTTCGTAGGCTATGACTTTGAGACCTGCTTGAAGCAATGGTATAGTTTGTTGCATATGATAATCAACCAAAACCTTCAACATTCAACATCGGTTGGTGTAATCTTCAATAATGCATAAACTAATTACTTTTACACATATGTTCATACTTTCCTATAACTTATTTTCAAGTTTTTATTAAATTTAAATGATGACTCATGCCTGTTGTTCAATTTCATCAACATAATATCCATTGTATTCGGAGCCATCATTAAAAATTACACCGTATGGTCCTACTGAACCAACTATCTTTACTTTTTCTCGCACTGAACATTCATTAATTGCCTGTTCTGCTAGCGAAACCAATTTCTACAATATTTCACTCTTAATTAATTATATGACGATTTAAATTAATGAGATGAAATATGACTTCTTTAAGAGCCTGAAACATAAGCCTATCTCAAATTTAATTTATATGCAAAGTTTTTAATGAATTTCAGAAGTCCTGTAGATGAAAACATGTGAGTTACTTTCAAGGACGATTCAGCAGCATTCTTCGTCATACCATGTGAACTCATCATTGTATTTATACAAGCTTGATAAGAGTTTGTAAGAATGATATCACTGCCAGCTTCAATGAAGCTAGAAATTCATTGTAATATAATGATGTATTTGATAAATATATTGAAAAAAAAAAAAAAAAAAAAAAAAACAGCTAACATTGTAGAAGTCTAAACAGTTTTTTTTACTAAATTTAAATGATGACTCATACCCGCTGTTCAATTTCATCAATATCCATTATATTCGGAATCATCATTAAAAATTACACTGTATCGTCCTACTGAACCAACTATCTTTACCGTCAAGAAGCTTTACGTACCCGAACAACTAATATTTATTAACATAAAAAATCATGTTATGGTAGGCTAGTAACAGGTTTGACTTGTGAAATACATACCGTTTATGTACTTGAAGTATAAGATCAGGATTGTCGAATAATGCTGCACAGCTCCAAAGTGAGTTATTCTGTAACATTTCTGTATTGTTTTTTTGAATTTTATTTATAGCCGTATAATAATCTTGCAGAAAGAGTAAGTAGTGTTCATAACTTAATTGAATCATCCTGAACAACCAGAAATCCCGGATCGTTAATAATAAAAGTTAAGATGAAATTCACAAGTTTGTTCATAAGCTTATAAATTCGACAAAATTTAAAAAAGAAGGAATAGAAATTCTGTTCCGATTTTGTGCGTTGTTCTTGGGAAATATATTATAAATAAACAAATAAATAGATGAAAGTAAATGCATTTATTTATTTCGTTGTTCATAATGATTCACTTCAATATTGTAACCAACTGCTTCTAACTCAGTGCCAAAGCCGCCATCCAAAATCTGAATTTTCTCGCACGTGAAATGTGCATCCATTCCTTCTGCAACATAAAAAGGCTATGAAAATTCCAACATTTAATCGTCTCAAATGTGTTTGTTAGGACCTATACTTATCAGGCACAGTTGTTCTTTGATCTCCATATTCAATCAATAATGTTCTATAAAAACGAAATGATGACAGTGAGGAATCTCGAGAACTAAACTATATGCCCGATCAATGAATTCCGAGGATGAGATAGAAACAGCCACTTAGCGGAAATTATTGCATGAAATAATCATTTACAAATCAATCGAAGTGATCAATTTATTAAAATGAGATGGATTAAACTAACATTAAGAAGATGAGTATATTAGGATGAAAGCAAGCATGAGAGAAAGCGGGAAATGAAAGAAATGAGGGAAATTTAGTTTGGCGCTGGCGCTAATACAAGTGAGCAAGCGAGAGCAGTTGTGAAAAAGAGGAGCAAGATATGAAATGATAGGAAGCATTCTTACAGTGGACAATCGAAAACAACAGTGCGTGTATTTGTTTTTTTCCTTGGATCAGTTGTGCCTCAATCTGCGATAGGACAAATACAGACTTCAGGTTACTATCTGACTTGAACGTGATAGTTCTGCGAAGTTCCTGGCCATAGTGATAAAATGAAGGATCGCTTCAGTTTTCAATTGTCGAAGTTCTCCTGCATTACTGTGTCATTTTTGTTTGTATAGATGTGCTTATAAAGTGCACCATTACTTAATGAAAGTAAATAAATGAGAAGAAAATGAAATAGCCCGAAGAATTGGCACGAACATATATATTTTTCCTCATGAACTTTTCTAACAAATTCCTATGTAAATAGTATAGATAGTGTTTATCCACATATATTTTTAATAATTTACTGCAATCATACAATCAAGAAATCAACTGATTACTGATTGTTTTTCCTTGAACAATTCTTGCGTTTGGACAGTTTTATCATTAACATAAGTGAATGAATAATACATACCCTATAAGATAGCTAGAGAGAGTTGATAACAGCAGGAAGAAATAAAAATCCATAAAAGAAAATCCTACCAGACATTTTACATACATTTTACTTCTATTGTAAATATTTCCATCGATTTCATCTTTTCTGTTAAGAATTGCAACCTCAACCACAGGATAATCTAAGAGACACTTCAGCTTTCATCTGAGGCATCGCTATAAGAACAATGTCCTTCCATCATTGAATCAGACGGTAAACTATTTTATAGATTACTTTGTGCAAAATAATATTAATAAGCTTTTTACGACATGAGACAGAAACGAAACAATTGGATAGTAAGAAATGCCATTGAGCTTCATGCAACTAATTGATAAACAGAATGGCAATGTGTTAAGTGAATACAAACTGGTTTTACGTATAATGACGCATAAAGCAATGAGATCACTCAAATATATCAAATTTTTCTTACTAGCGGAATGATGATTATCACAAATTAACAAACTTCCTTCCTTTCTTCCTCTATATTTTTATTGCAATACTATTTGCAACAAATATTGGAAAAACACTGAAATTCTAAAATCAACAACAAAAAAGCTGAATTTTATTCTAAGATTTCAAAAATTTGAAACCAAGAAAAATCTAGGATAAATTCAGAGATGGTTTGGAAATTCACCAGAAGCATAAGTATACAAAGAAACGGCAACTGTTTATGATAAGTATTATTTTGATGACTTTCAGACAATAGAAATTCTGAAGTTATTCACAATCCTGAGAAGCTTTTGAAGACTATTCAATTCTTTCAAAAATGCGAATTTCACCAAATTGAGCGTAGTTACATGGGAATCATTAAACAGTCGGGCAATTAATATCCAAAGATGCTGAAAATTTCCGGATTTACAAATTAGAGGATAACTGAAATAAAGATTTCTTTCAATTAATCAAGATTTACCATTTTCTCACTCTAGATTCGAACTACAGCGAAATGTTGCATGTGACGTAATGTAGCAATCCATGCAAAGTTATATTTTGTTATCTTCACCTTTACTATTTTTGGAGGAATACGATTTGATATTTCAATTCTGATGCATATTTGAATTTCATAAATCGTAAATCATAAATGCGCAACTGTCATACTTGGATTATAACGAGACACAGCATATCCATTTGTGGTACCAATTGTTGTTTGAAATTCGGGACTAAGTATGCCTAGTACAGATAAATCATTGTCTGTTGCATGAAGTGGATACCAACGTGATGTACCATCCAAAACATAGGGATCTGTAAAACACAACAATTTCAATAAACCATTTAAAAGTGCTTGCTATTACATACTTCTTTGTTTTTCTCTATCTGTAAATTTCAACAAGGGCAAAGCCAGAAAACAGATAGAAAAGAAGAGTCTAAAAAGGATGCCATCTAGCACAAACTAATGTGTGTAATGTGTGAAGAGTCCTTATAGCACTGAACTAAAATTACCTGAAAGACTAATGACAAGTTTTCCTAAACTGTTGTTATCATTGACTCTGTCGTAATCCCACACTGTAAATTCTAGATAATGACTGTATAATTCATGAAATGGTACTGAATATTCCAGTGTTTGATTCCATATTGGGTCTGAGGTATTTGGTACGAATTTAGTTCGACGCTTGCTAGATACCCTGAAATTAAATATTAAGATATTTATAACTCATTGCATTTCGCTGTGAATTTTTGAATATACTAAAAGAAAAAAATAGCTAGGTTGAGAAGTAACATGAAGTGCATCAATTTCACTCTGCAGGTTATTGCAATAGTATTTACCTTCTTCCAGGTAACAAGTAGACCTTCACAAAAGGATTTGGATAAAATGTCACATTACAATATTGACGACATGTGAGCCTTTTAGCCGAAAGCACTGTTACTATAAGTGTTGATGTTGATCTGTTGTATGCTAAGGCCACATTTAAATAACCCAACGTATCAGGCTAAAAACAGGATACAAGGAAAGGAAAAAGTTTTCAAAAAAACATATCTAAAATAAATACTTTTCAGTATAAGACTGACAAACAATACGTACGAATCTCTCGGTACTTCATTCATATAAATAAACTGATTAAATTAATATGAATGAATTACCAAGAGACTCACACTTATCGTTTGTGAATAACGAGTGTTGCTTCATCATAAGAGAAACTCAATTTTTTCAGACTCAATCTTCTACATTAAATACAGGTTTTGGTTTTCCAGTCTTCCACTCCTCTACTGCTAATTAGAAGGAAAAAGGAAAAACAGTCTGCACCAATACGCTAATATATACCTTGGAATAACCATTTATTCTAAATCTTCATTTATCAAAAAATATTATTTGAATTCAAAATATTACCCATAATTTGCTCTCTCACTATTGCTTCCGATAAAAATCAGTTGAAAATAATGTTAAAAGACGAAGAGGTAATTATGCAGTTAAGCTACCTGCTGCATGTAGGTAATATGGTTACGTGATTGTAAGGGGATCGTTTTATTGTTCAATGATGGTTTCAAAACAGCATGAGAATCTGAAGGGAAAGAAGTTTGTCCATCTGCGCAACGATGTGCAGGTATTGGAGGAGCTTCTGATTTCTGTGAATGATTGCGTATTTCATCTGTAATGAATTCTTTCAAATATATTTTTCTTTAATATCATATATAAGTAGAATAAAATGGAATAGTATTTTTTAACAAAAATCCATACCATGTTTACGTTCCCGCCTTTTTTGATTTTCAACACCTTTGCTTTTTTGGGGATTGCCTGACGTCACTGGCATACTGCTTATCGAATTGCTTGAAAATTAAAACGCTGTTATCCAAAAAAAAAAAGAATTGTATCTGAGAGATCTTCCAAAATAAACTGTTGCAGATAAGCAATAAACATTCTAACAAATATTGTTTTAGCACGAAATCAACTGAAACTTTTTAACGCTTCGAACTCTTAAAGAGTCGTAGAACCTACAAATGCTTACCATACAGCAATCCATTTCTTTCAGAGCGGTATATAGCTAAGTTAATTGCTAGCAAACCGAAAAGCGTTCTGTGAAGTAATTATAGAATATCAGAATAGAGCTGATTTCTAATGAAATTATCACTTGCTGAATAATGCTGCTAATAAAGTAATGCACAAAATGTTAACAACCTAGCAACAACCACTTCAATTTCACCCCGACTGGCAGCTATCACTTGCTCCACTTCTTCAAATGTTTTTCCAGTTAATAATACACCATTCCACTCGAGAACACGATCTCCTAAACAGGATCATGACAACACATTTCTATCAAATCTTCAACAAAATAATGCGTAATGCTATGAAATGAAGCTCATGAATTTATTCTTCTTTTTCCTCCTTCATTTTAAAACCACACATAATCCAAAGTTTATTATTTTTATTCTATCTTAAAAAAGGACTGAAAAATTCAATTTCATTCCTTTTTTGACAGTACTCATTTCATTTAAAATGAATGATATAAGCAATCTTAATAATCTAACGATAATATGACGTCTCTCGCTGATTTATACCGAGATTTACAATATCTGTGATTTAATTTTATTATTTTATTACCATGTTAATTAAGATATTGATGCTTACAAAGACAATGCTCTTAAGATGCCACGCTACCTTCTATTTCGAAGTATTACTACCAATTTTCGTTGTTAACATGGTTTACATATGAAAACTGATAATTAATGAATTTGGACCTTCTTTGATCTCGCCTAATGTTTCCCGAGCTTTTCCACGATTTACTGTCGATACGAAAGCTGCAAGTTCACCATTTGGAAGTTTTTTACCACCTATTACTCGAATACCAATATCTGGAACGTACTCACTGAACTTCTAGTAGCAGTAAATTTCAAACTATAAAATTCAAACTTTCATTTATTCATATTTTACCAGTAATTTGCAGTCACCAAATTTTTGAAACTCAGCTTTATCTTCGTAAAGAGCTAATATTAATGTTTTATAGTTGCAAGTGATGCCATCAAAGAGTCTCTCATAACATTACCCTATATTTTATATTGATGTAAACTCTCCCAAAAATACTTTTTTTCTAAATATTGTTTCAAAAATAAAACCATTATAAACATTGGTGTCGTGGTATTTGCGTGTTAAGAGAATCTTTTTAATGCTAGTTGAATAAATCCGGTCGCGTTGTATTATAGCAGCAGCTGTTGCATCGCTATCATCGGATGATTGTTTCGACTGACTTCCAATTAGCTCTTTTACCTGCCAATATTCTAAGTAAGTATAATAATTTGATGAAATCATAAAGAAATTGTAATTAATAGCATATTATTTTAAAAAATAGATGCATATTTCATGTCAAATATCTATGTAACAATCTTTCTCATCAATACATCATTAATTTGAAATGTTCTGTGGATTCATGAAAAGTGATGATGTAAACTTTTGATCTTCGAGCATTTGATAGTGTTGTTAGATTCTATAAATCCACTGCAGGACTTTTATATTTTTCTGCATTAATTTAATCAAGAGAAAAAGAGATCTGAGTTTTTGATTTTACGTCACTTGCGGTAAACTTTTGATACTTTATTAAAATAACTTACTATCCAAAAGGGTTGTTATAACTTAAGCGTAGCAGGTCAAACTAGAAAAACTGAGTAATATGCTGTGTTCAAAGACCTACAAATCAAATAGAATATCATCAGAAAATTTTAAGTTTTCCAAATTTCCAAATCCTACCAGAGTGCAATAGAAACCTACTCTATTTCTTCGTATCTTTCTGTCGTGGCGTCCAAGGCTAGAGACGTGATTGCAATCGCCTGAATGAATATGTCAGCTGAGCAGTCAAATTTGAAAGCACGCATGAATATCAACAAAATAACATTTCTTGAAAATGAGAAATGCATGCTATAAATTGGCTAAACATCCAGTCTGACTTCATTTCTCGAGTTAAATAGCGCTTTCTGATTCTGACTTATAATCCTACTCAAAAATAAATTCGTGCTTCACTATTTTGTTCATACTTTGTCAATTGAAACATACTTTCTCTGAAGAATATTCCTTATGTTAAAAGAAAAAAGAAAAAAAAAAAGGAAATAAGCATGACAGTGTTTTGATTTTAAAAATAATTTCCAAAGAACCTAATTACTGCCTTACATTTCTCATTTTCCGAGACAATGCAACCATGGAATTAATTCCACCGTACTGAAATTAAAAAGCTATATTGCAAAAGTTTTGCAAGTTCTTTTCAAAAATATGAATTTCAATAGCCGCATAGAATAAATACAATCGCTACAGTTGTTTCGTTTTATCAACAAACGAATAAGCAACTATACAATAATGATGAATTTTAGCATGATAGTCAGGAAAACAACTTACTTAACCGATTCAAACAATTAATAAATTATATTATTTTATGCTACTGATAAAAGTACAAAAAACATCCAACAATTCCAAAAACAACTTGAGCGATAATCACACCTCACAAAATTTCTTTTTTATTCACGGATATGAATTATGAAAAGAAGTTATTACTCAACGATTGATTTCATACTAACACTCTAAGGTTAGATTCAACTTGTGCGAAACTGAGGTGTAATACCACAAAGCCACAGCATCATATGAAATCAATGCTAGGCGATATATTCTCATTTTGCACCGCAGATGAACTATTGGACAATTTACTTAGCTCAAGAAACAATTAAACTATGCCTATGATTAGATTATACATTTAGTAAATAATACATTTATTCCTACAATGAAAATCTTTCAACTTTTTAAACCATCATATTATCAATCTTTAAATCATCAAAATTTTTGAAAATGTTGAGTTCACGATGAAGATTAAATTAAAATACACACTGTTTCTGTGGGACTGAAATTGGTTGCTCAGGAATTGAACAAGTCTTTTTCGAATGAAATCCCCTCCATTAGCTCATTCCTTTAAATTCTATTCAAGAGCAGGCCTCCTATGTTCATTTAATTGAACTCAGCATTCCCAGATTTCTAAAAAAAAAAACCAAAAAAACCAAGTTTAATACCTTCTAAAATCTTTCTCCATTGCGGAATGAATGATACCTTTCAAGGTCCCCTTTAATTGGTTTACATCCTTTAAAAGACTTCACTGTCTTTTATGATCAATCAAATTTCGTATTGATTAGCCCGAACTGAAGGCTCTAATTTCTACTTTTTCTAAAGCATATTTTAGCAAGTTCACTCGAAACAAATAACTTAAATTTCGACTAATAATTTGATTGACCTTGGAATCAGTGTTTTCAAAAATGAAAAAGAGGTCGTGACTAGACTACTTTTTACATTCCTGAGATGCGATAACAAGTATTAGCAGTACAGCAATCTTTTTTTGCAAGCAGTTATTTCTTCATTAACCAAAAACTGAATCAAATAATAATTCAATACTTCAACATGGAATGTAGAGTTAATCGAACGGTTTTAATGTACCAGGTAGATGAACAAAACAAAACGAAAAAAAGGTAAAACACAAATATTACCACAGAAAATAAATCTGAACAAAATTCAAGCTATTTGAATTTTTATAAACCCACCAGTTAAAGTTTATTCAGATTCCATTACACTGCAGAAAGTAAATGAATTGTTCCATCGAAAAGATGAAACAATTAAATAACATAAATCACAAATACGAAATATAATTTAAGATTTTATTTGAATCTGAATTTCGTATCAAAGATGGTACACTTATAAATAAAGCTGCATATTTTGAAATAATATAATTTATACTCTTTTAATAGCACCCAATACCTCTCCGCAATAATTCCATAATAAATTTTTGTCTACAAAACTTCTTAATGCGTTTTCTACAGCATAATTTATGAAACTGGGAAATGGAAAAGATGATCGAGAAACTAACTGGAATTATTCAAACCTCATGAGCTGAAGCCAAAAGAGTTAGAGATAACATGGCAAGGTGATCCACTTTGAAAAGAAGGAATTGAAATAAATCTGAAAACAGAACTGCTGAAATAAGTGCATATATTGTTAGAAAAAGAAAACACAAAAAATCTATTCACTGTTTTTCGCTGCTTGTTTTTCTATTGTAATGATCAACTGTACCATAACAAAAGGAAGAAGATTAAAGTCCAAAAGTTCTTGCAACACGCAAAAGGAATGGAAAAAAAAGATTTCTAAACACTAATGATTCAACAGATCGCAGAGAGAAAGCGATCTTCACGATGTATGCAATAATTCACTAATGTATTGCAATCCTTGTCGTGCTGAAACCATATAACTTAAATATTCTCAATACCAAAGATTTTTAAATCACAATGCAGCTCACTATTTCAATTTTGCAAATGTAAAATCATGAAATGAGAAATGTTAAAACTATGATTGAATATTGGAAGATTTCAGTTAGAACCTGCCACATCATACATATTACAAGAAATGAATTAAAAACACTTCGTCTTCCAATGTTTATTGGAAACCAGTGATGGAATATAAGAAAATTGCCTGAATATTCAGATCCCATGAATATACATAATCCAAAAAAGGCAATATTTGAAATATACTGCCTTATTGCTTGTATCTTTTCTTATGCTGCTTTAAGTTTAATTTAAAAAGTATCGAAATACATAAATTAAATGTAACTTCTCTGGATCGACGACTATCATAGAGTGAAAATAGCAAATACTAATTATGCACAGGAAACAAACTGGTATCGTGAGCATCACAGTTGTATCGTAGTTAATACACATACATAACCAATAAATATATGAGCATTAGATGAACGAATGAAATATTAATAATAAAATCCTGATGAGATTATCCAACCTCTGCACCACCATGTTTGAATCATGAAGTTAAAAAATAAAGTGCTTAAAAAAACTCAAAAGAGAATTTGACACGACTGCATCATGAAGAAGCTAATAACATTTCGAGGCCAAAACCATTAGTAATCAATGATGGGTGATTTCAAATAACAAGAAATGACAAAGCATCCAAGAACATTAACGAATTCGAGAGAAATTTGTGGAAATATGGTGTTAGTTACCACTAAATATTAAACTGAAACTTTATGAATTAGAACTTATACAAGTGCATTTTAAAATTATAGCCTTACAGAACCTAGCAGAAGAAATATTCTTTGATGTCTTCTCAACGGTATTTCACAAATGAAATTTAGCTCCTGTTCCTTAAAACTTCGAGAAAAATGGGTAAAAACCATTTGCAAAATTTTTATATAAAAATTTCAGTTTTCAACCTATGAATACATAAATGAGGTGGCACCATTACCGTGATGTTGTGGACGTATAGAACGTTGATTGTTCAGCGTTGAATACATCCGGTTCAGAACATCTTCTTTTGGATAAATGGCATCGTAACAGTTCATTGGAATATTTCCATTGGACCAAGCTCTGATAGCATGAATAGGATGTTGGGAGGTCGGTGGATAGTTATCCAGAAATAAGGATTGTTGATTTGGTAAATAAGGTTGCTCACCAATACCACGATAACGGTTGGCTCCGTGGTATTGGGTAGAATAAGTATAAGGATAGTGACTTCTTACAGCATAATTCTTGTTTGAAGAGTCTCGTACCTGATGAGCTGCCCTGTCCCGATAATAATTGCCATATTCAGTGGCATAATGCGACGGTCTCGAGCCATAATTTGCGTCGTTTCTACTATATACCTGACCAGGAAGAGGTGAAGCTTCAAGGAGGATATTCGGTGTCGGAGAAAAATAGTTCGAGTAATGATAAGGTGATATTGCATTATTGTCAAGTGTGCTATTATTCACGCAAGAGAGTTGTTGGCACCATGGCCAGGTTTCGTAATGATCAGTTTGCATATAAGAAGGAAAATTTATGTGAGGATCAGGAATAATAGGGCGTTGAATTGGTTGATTTGGATATGAGTGTGCTGAATCAAAATTCATGGCAGGTAACGAGTCCTCATAGTTTACCGTGGGTAGTGCCTGACCACTGGTCGTAGGAGAATTATATCTGGGAGCATAGTAAGGACGTTTTTTGGTTTGACTGAGATACATTCGCTCTTCCGCCGGATAACCACTCATGAGCTTCTCTTGGTCAGTGATAAATTGATTACTCAGATAATTTGCGTACTGTGAGATAATATCAGTATTAGGCAGACTTTGAGAACCGTCAAAATCTTGTGCTCGTGCACCAGGTACATACTGCGGTCTATACAAATCATCATATGCAGCTTTCATCAGTGGACGTCCAAAAGTTACATTTGATTCTGTAAGACGCTGTTGATATGGTAACCATGGATCTAAATTCGTAGACCGAGTGGCATAAAGCTTCGTTCTTGAATCCAGAATGGGATCATCCACACTAATGGGATTGACATTATGCCAGGACCTTGAGAGAGCATTATAACGCCCTGTTGGGATTGGAAGTGATTGGAAATAATCACTCTGAGCATCAGCATAACTTTTCTCAGTATAGCGCTCATAATTCCGTGGAAGTGATCCATATCCAAATGAAGGCCGATTACGATTTCGATTTATATAGTCGTGTCGATTTGATCGAGGAGAACGTGTTGTAGGGAAATCAACCCTTGGTAAAGATCCATAATGCGGAACAGTGGATGAATAGTCAGAAGTGAGATGAATAACTGGAAAACTAGATGGTGAATATAAGTCAATCATAGATGAAATCTTTTCTTTTCTTTGCGCAAGTTCATCCATAACTCTCTGCTTTCTGGTTTCTCTGTTTACCGGATCATCGTCACTGAAAGCAAATCGATTTTTCAACCGTCGTCCATGTTCCCGAAGTTGCCTATCATATTCTGCGAAATACTTCGCCGTAGATTCCAACAAATTTGGTTCCGATGCAGAAAACAAGTTACTAACTGAATTACGGTGACGGCGACTAGATGACCGGTTACTATGAATTTCATAGGTCGTAGTGCCATTTGTTTGCGTTTCTGTGGACCGGAATCGCGGTTGAAACACCGTTATTGCATCGGTATTGGTAGTGAATGCATCGAGTCGATCATGTTTCATTTGTCTTCTGAGTGAACTGGTAGCAGCGTGGCAAACTGAGCTAGATATGGTAGAGTAAGCAGTTGTAGTCGCAAAAGAGTTTCCCGACTGAACTCCAACTGACTTCAATTTCGGTTCTAAACCAAAATCGTCGGTGCAGATACCCACTTCCTGGGTACCACTTTGGACTGAGGATGAAGAGGGTGGAACAGAAGAACGTTCAGGAACGGGAGTGGTCGTCACTGAGGTTGTCACATTTGGTACTTCACTTGGCACCACACGAGCACCACTTATAAGTTCAACAGGCAATAGGCAAGGTATCACATTAGGGATATTATCAATGTCAACAGAGCGATATTCAGGCAGAAGACCAGTAATAAGCATTCGATGTACAATATACTGCCTTTGATTAGCCTCTATTTCACAGGCTTCCAGGGATTCTCGTCTTCTTTCCAAGACCTCCTTCAGTTCCTTCTTCAGTAATACTCTAGCAAGTGGACTGGGCATTTTGGTACCGGACGCTTGTCCCAGTACTGTCGAGCGATCACCCAATGCAGCAGAAGTGGTCTGTCGAAGGAGTAATTTGGGTTTTGCATGAACGATTGTTGCTCCGGGAAGAATGGCAGGATCTACCGTGCGACAGTAGGCGGTTGATGAAGAGGATGGCAATGACAGGTTGCTTAGAGAGGCAGTACGAGGAGTGGGTTGTGAGTAGGCACGAGAATCCTGAGCATGATATTGTCGATCGGGAGATGGAGATACAGCTGGGGCGCTTGACGTGAGGTAGACCGGAGCGGGAGGCGTTTCGCTGACCTTCTCTGCACGCTGTGTTGGTATCGAAGGCAGCTTTCGTCTTCCCATCTCCAGTGATGTCGAACATTGTACATCATCCTGTAAACGTCTCGATTATCTCTGATATTTCTACAAGAGGTTTCAAATGTTTGTTTCCTTTTTCATAACTTATAATTTATAGTACTCTACATAAAATGATAAGGAATTACTTAAATTTACTTTATAAGTGAACTACACAATCGCAACAGGCTTCACACAACTTCCATTCAAAGAAATTCATCGTTTTCTGAAGTTTACATTTTTCTTTCCAACGCCCCAAAGTCCGCAGTTTAGCAGCCTCACTATCAATTAGTAACTATTACAAGTTATCGCCGCTGCTAGAATAAAAGACGTGCACGTGTTCTGTACAAATTATGATTAGTTTCAGTTATTTGAATTAGCAGAAGAGACACTGGAAAAAGAAATGGTTTTGGCAGTCAAATTTTCCAAACACTTTAAAGCTAATTTTTAAGGATTATTAATAGAAAATACGTAAGAGAATATTTCTGAAATGCGACTGTATAAATTTCACGAGATTCCAAATACACTAAGGTGGCATCTCTTTACTCAACAGTTACTTCCTGATGTGCGACTTTATTTACGTTTTTTGGACAGTTGGAACATCTAACGATGTCTAGGACATTATTACTCGTTGAAATTTAAAACTTTAAATTGTTCGTATCATTTCGAAGATTTGGAATCAAAAACTTCGAAGATTTTCTGGACTTACTCTTTTCATTATCTTTCTAAAAGACATGTAAACATTGTCATATTCGTGCTTGTTTATTCGCATTATTCATATTGGATGGAAATAAACTATTTTTTGATACAAAGAAACAGTAATTATTATAGATCTATACTGTATACGAACCATTCAGTGATATGCTAAAGTCTGGATGGAACCCGATAGCATTTTTCGGAGAATTTCCTTAAGTTTGTTTGAGATATTCTGGAATTTGCAATTTTATTACTGAAGCATATCATTGGAGAAATGTTTAGCACTGGCAGCAAAGGGATGAAAGGAAAAGAATTTTCAAGAAATGCAGTTTGCGGTTGCCGTTATTACTGGATAGAGTAAAGGGACTATGTAGCTAAGCTTTGCTAGCAAACAACCTCCATTTGTCGAAAAAAGGAAATCAATCCCAAGAGACATCACTGAAGTGCAAGCTCATTTTATCAACGCGCACCCTCCACATATATTACACACACGTATAGCTCAAGTGCTATATATATATGTATCGACGACATATCAAGTAATCTGTATCATAATGCTAAAGAAATTGATGTTAATCAATACCGATTTGTTGTTGTATCATCCGTTCGTTGATTCTGTTAAATCACAAAATTTCCATAATTAGAACTGTCTGCCGGGGCAAAAGTAATTTACAAACAAATTAAAGTTGGATAATTCAATCAGTAAAGAAAAGCAGAGCCAGAGGAAGACATTCCTGGAAATGTTCGGATTAAATTGATGAGCTATCAATAAAAACTGATAGCATTTTGACATCAATACCAATAGTAATTACTTCAGGCAGGTTCTTGACCATAACCAGAGAATGGAAGAATTTAAGAAAATGAAAACTGCAGACGAGAAAAATGCGTCGAAAGAAGGACAGTTAAGAAGCACTGCTTTTCACTGTTTGATATTGAAGCAACAACAATAGCAGAAGCAAATAAGCCCAACCATTTCGATGCTCCCTGGCTTAAAGCTCACTGGCCAATCCCGAAAGAACTACAGCGAACCTTTTTAGGCCTTCTTTCTATAACGTCTACTAAATCCCTTTTTTTCTACTAAAACACACACACACACAAACACGCACACGAACGTACATACATAATATATGACACACCCATATTGATAATATAACATGGATGGATATCTGTAAAATAGACAGAGAGAGTAAATTTAATATGAAAAGCATTGAAAGTTGTAATGCAGAAAAGCAGGAAATAAGGAAAAATGATTCATCCAAATTATGTCACAAAATAGGAAATGCTCTTACAAAGTCATAATTTCAAGGAGAATTTTTTCTACCCACTACAACCTCAGTTCCCATCTCAAACAAACGTGTGGCAGACACTTCTCCAAGAATATTTTACAGCTGAAATCTTCTGCGGTCTTAAAATTTTTAGCTTTTGAATTTCTGCAGTCTTATGTGCATAGAATTCTAGCAATTCTGGGAAAGAAGCAGAAGAAAAAAGAGTTACTTAGAATAATATCATTGCTGATCAATTTGAAGTTATACACAGATCTCTTTATCTACAGAACTATTTCAGATTACTGATTTACCTAACACTGCTAATAGCTGTTTTTTAATTTAACCATTGTGAACTAAGGGATAAATTTTATAGCGAACAGCGAGACACCACTATATTCATGCGTGCATAATGTTCCCCCAGAGGATTGAAAAGAACCATTTCCACCACACACGAAATATTTCGATGAAGTCAATACTCGAATGGCATTACTACTAATGCTAACTAATATTACTATCAGTGCTTAATACTTGAAACTCTTTTTCCTCACTTTCCACGTATCGTGCAAATTAAATTCCAAAAGATGCATCTGCAAATCACTTCATTAATTAACCGTAAACTGTTTTTTAATTTAACCACTGTGAACTAAGGGATAAATGATGTGTCAAGTTAAGTAATTATTATAAATGCAACTTCTTCTCTTGAAGAAAAGTGATATTTCTTCGTGTACAAAATAAGTAATTTTTCTTTCCTCTTTGAAAATAATCGAAAACTCAATAAAAAACACAATTTGCTAAAATCTCCTGAGAGCAACTGTTTTGAGAAGTAAACTGAAAAAATGAAATAAATATAACAACAATAATATCCTTTTAAGCATGTTCTTTTCTTTCCAGCTGCATCATATTAACTGTTCGTTGAAACTATTTATGTTAGAAATGAATTGATAAGTAAATTATTGGATCCCAGAATTTGGTTCAAAAAACAGTTGTTCCTTGAATATTTCAGATTTTCATAGTTGCAGTGACAATTTACTGCTAATATTATTTTCACATTTTTTATTAGTTTTTCGCTATTAGAACTATTTGGAACTTTTTCCTAGCAAGGTTACAGTAACCTATGAGCACTGTAAACATTTTTTTAAATTTAAATTTTAAAAAATTACAAAATGTGCAGATTTTATTATTTTCAAGTACTTCAATTATAAATCTCTTGATATCAGGGAAGAGGTTCCCAAGAAGTTGGATAAGTTCAAGATATTTGAATTTAGAAGCAAAGTAGATACTCGTACTTAACAGAAAATTAAATTAACAACGGCAAGAAATAATTTTTTGGAAATCTAAAACAACTGAGAAGAAAGGTTAAATGACCTCTTTTGGAATAGTCTGTGAAAACAATGCTGGGACATATGTTGTGGCCAAGAATTCGGAAGTTGTAGACATGTTAGCAGCGTGTAGCTGTTGACTACCCATTAACATCATAGCTGGTGATCGTTTTAGTCTAAAAAACCAATTTTTTATTTTTCGTAAGCAAAAAATGAACCGAAATCTAAACTGATGGATAATTCGAAATCATGAATGCGACAAAGGAGTATTCTTCTTGGATTTCATTCGCTACATAAGGACATTTAACACGAAGGTTGTAGAGAAAACTTTAGTACATCACTAACTTAATACATAAATCAGATGGAGGTTAACAACCTTGTGGCTGTCGAGTCGGTATCAAATTTGGATGATACAGTTGGAACGTTCGAATCCAACCCACTTCCTAGTGTTTCTGATAACAAAGCAGATTCTTCTTTGGAAGATGAATTGAATGGCTGTCCCATCATGCATTGAAAACTTGAGGCACTACAAACTAAATCTGATAATGCATCACTTTTCGAAAATTGGGTTATTCCCGAACTCATTTTCAATACTTCAGTTCCAGAACCACTTTCTGAAACATGATCATTTTAGCATAATACATTAAAAACCATAAACAAACAGACAACCAGGTAATTTGAATTTAGAAAAAAAAAATATTTGAAAAAAGTCATGGCAACAATACTTCCGACTTAGTTTTAATCGATTTCCTTAAGAATAGAACTGATCGCCATAAGCGAATTTATTAAGAGGAAAAGAAGACGAAGAGAAAAAGCTCTAAATAAAATAGCACACTACTGATAGGTAAATTTGTGGAGATTTCCATTTCATCGATCCGTCCGTTCTGGATACCATCGAAACTGGTTGATATAATACGTGGTGAGATGTTGAAAACCGTAGTACTGCTGCATAATGAGACACCACTGGAGAGCAAAGATGAAGTAGGCTCCTGCATGAATAAACTGTTCTGAATTTTACAAAGTTACCAATGGATATAATTGAAAACAACAGCCTTCGAGTGTGGTTGAAATTCCCTCTGCCTCGATACTCTCTAGTGAGCTATTTAACATTCTAACATAATATGAAGCCTAAATTCAATGCTCATTTCAGCAGCTAAATTGAATCAGAGAATATGGAGAAATATATATCCTTTTTCCTCATGAATACTAAGTTTGTAATTTTATTTCTACCAAATTTTGCTTTACAGTCGAGTCAAATCAATTCATAATCACAATCACTTTTAAGAAGCAATAAGAAACCAGAAACACTTTTTTTTCAATTCATAATCACATTAATTTTTAAGAAGCAATAGAAAACCAGAGACATTTTTTTTTTTTTTTTCAATTCATAATCACATTTATTTTTAGGAAGTAATAAAAAACCAGAAACGTTTTTTTTTTTTGAAATGTCACATGGTTCGTAAATACAGTCAGTGCTACGCATTTTAAAAGACTCAAAGATGGCATACATTCTCCCTATTCTCTCTAAATTTTATAGTGACATTGATCAAACTGACTGACTTTCTGTGAAATTGAGCAAGACGTAGTGATATGTTCCAACTGTCTTGAAGTTTCAGAGCTGTTCACATCAACCGCAGGAGATAATACATTCGCTTCTGTATCATGAAGCAATGTTTGTTTTGAAATCTCATCCTGGCGTTTTTGTAACTGACTATAGTAGTCACCACTGTAGACGGTAGTTGTCACATCTCGGCCTAGAATCAGTTTGAAGTAAGTTTCTGCAAAATTTTCATTACAAGACAATTAAAACAGGACAAAATAAGAGAGGCTCAAGAGTATAAAATTAGAACTACCTGCTGTTTTGGAAACAGGTAGTCGTTAAAGTTTACCTTTCTGAGCAGGACTCAAAGTTGGAATCACATTCAACACATTTGCTGTTTCACTAAACGCAGTGGACTTGGAAACTGCTTTTAAACTTGATGATTCTGCGCGAATTCTGCGAACCACTTCTTTTGCTAAATTTCGACCATCAATTCTTATAATTTAAGTATTTGTGACATCATAGAAGAAATATTTCTCACCAATAACTCACTGGTGCAAGTTGAAATCTTGCTTTTATATAACAATCGAGAAGCCACTTACTGATTTGGCTTTATGCAATTTTATGAAACAACTTACCGTAGAACTTCGAATCAGTATTGACCAATCCATCATCTTGTTCTTTATCCTCTGGAATTGTGTAAACGGAACCAGGTCTATGACTTAAAAATGATGGACTGCTGTAGTAGCTAGCTGCAGCTGTGTAATCAACATCAGCCTCCAATGACTATAATCAATTTTTTTCTCACACTAATCATCACCAATATCACACAGATTATTCAAAAATGCATTGTCAGCATTGTCAGAAATAATAAAAAACTGATGAAGACAAATTATTTTTTGATTTTGTAGCAGGATTTAGAGAGAAGAAATTACAAGTTTATATCAAGAGAAAATCCTTTTACTTACATTTTCTTCCACGATTTTTAATGCACTATCAGTGTCAACAATATCCAGGAATGGATTTTTCCTCTCAGAGGTGGTTTTATTCAAACTTGCTGCTTTATTAGTGTGCTCAGTTTCCATTGATAATAGGACCTCGTCGTAAGCAACCTAGTATCAATTCGCTATCAATAACATGGTCATCAAAGTCAAAATGGTAAATATACGAAAGAAAGAATTCGTATTGGAAAAAACTTTACCGCTGGTGTCGTACTTTCATCGTGTGCAAAGATATTACTTATCGCCTCACTTCTAATTAAGTTATCATGAACCCACTGAACATCAAATTCATCATTTGCTACTTCTCCAAAAGCCTGACAATAATTTAAAACTTAATGTTGATACTTCATTTGATTAATCAAATCAAAAAGACCTCACATTTAATAATATTATCAATGTTTCAGCCAATAAACAAAAAATCAAGAAAAAATTTCAACCTGTATTTGTTGCAAAACAGCTTTACCAAATGCCTCTTGTTGTTCTTGTTCTTTTTCCACTTCATCATACGATATCAGCGGTGCAGAGGGCACTTCGATTACCTAAAATTATTTAATGAAAGTGATGTAGCTGCAATCTAAAAGTTTAAATACAAAATTAATGAACCTGATCAGGATAGTCATCTTCATCAGAAGATGGACTTGTTTCAGCATCAGAATCGTCATCAGCAGCTATTCGGATCCCGTCATCGTGATCAGTTACTGTTATTGCTGGTGGAATTCTAGAGAATGATAAAGAATTAGAAAAAAAGAGAAAACAACAAAATAGCTCACTAAACAAAAATTTGATGGAAATAACGAACCGCATTATGTGCGCAGCTTGCAGTATCTCATATTGAGCAGTAGAGGCTTGCGATTCTAAAGCCTTTTTCGAAAGATTGTCCTGGAATTTTAAAATCGAATTTGTTGAAAAAAGAAAAATTGAGAAATTGTTATATAGCATTAAAAAAATAAACAGACAAATTGAACTGAAGGGACTTACATTACTAGTAAAAAGCCGTCCATCACTATTCTGAATCGCATTTACTTTAAGTGCATTTTTTTCAGTAGTATCACTTGATTCTTTAACAGTGTCCTTACAATCTGAAAAATGTAATTCTACATCTTCTAATCACTAAATTATCAAAATTGGAAAGGGCAATCTGTTCGAAAGTTCAAAAAGACGCTGAAAGTTTTTCTTCCCATTCATAAGCTAGCCGACCACCAATAAAAACAAAGAATGACCATCATCAATCACGTTAATGTGATGATGAGTCAGTGATGATGAATCAGATAAATCAGTTGCTTTCATATCTGTTTCCATATAATCTTTTGCTCTTCTTCCATGTTTCTGCATGTTTACGTCATTTTTCTCTTCTTCCTCGGTAAAAACTGTTGTCCACATTCGAGGTTTCCGTTCATTCCATTCGTAATGTCCCTTAAAATTATTACATTTCATCATTTACGTACTGACTCTTTATTTTCAACTGCATTCAAAGTCAGCAGGGGACTCAGAAGCTAACTAAAGTCATCTGTGTTATAATCAATGGAGTGTAATGTCGGATCAGTACAACTTGATAAGTGTTACTAATGCTCTTTTTGCACTCAACAGATAATTTGAAGATAACTAGAAGGATGAACTGCTTTATTACACTACAAAAGTGAAATGAATTTCACCTGATCGGACCAATCGAGAGTTCCAATACCACTGTCTGCATCATGATTTTCTTTCGGATAATCATCCATTTGACTAGCACCATCAAATATAAACCTTCGGTCATCTCCGTAAGTGTAATCAAAATCAGCGCTATCATAACCACTACTTTCAAATACTGATGGGGTATCTGTTTCCAGGATATCAGTCCCAGTAATAATGCTCGATACAATGCTTGGATACCTGAAACCCACATCACAGCTGCTATCTTCAGTTATCGTGTAATCACTATCGATTTGAGGTAGTGTGACACCGGTGGAGGATGAAGTAGATGATTCCACAAATTTCGTTAAGACTTCATGCTTCTCCATCTCTCGATCACCAACAGAATTTTTACCTTCCTGCCATTCGTCTTTTTCCCCTGATGTACCTGAAACAAATCATTTTCATTTAGTGCACAGGGTATAAATGGATTACATACACTTTATTATAACCCTGCTTTGTTCAAATACTGTTTCTATACGTTATTTAATTAAAATGAACCTGATTTTTAGACGTAAATTTTTGTCATTTTAAGAATTCAGGGGAAAAATAATACCAATTTGGGAAACAGGCTGAGATGAAATCGCGTGAGTAGCTTCGAAATGTTCTTCTTGTGCGGCTTTCATCACGGCTAAAATTTGGTCTCTCTCGGCTGGCAAAAGTTCCGCTAAATTATCGTGAAATTCATCTATAAAAATGTTCGGAAAAAAAAAATGATTCAGTGGAAAAGTTTCTCAAGAAATGAATTAGTAGAAAATTGTGTTTAATCGTTATTTAACTGATCCTCTGGATTATTCTTAAATTTAGCACAGGGAAAAAGTAAGTGATTTAGATCAAAATCTTTTAATTAAGGAACAAACCATTGACTGAAGGAATTGAAAGTGGTGCCGCCGATGTTGGAAGCAATGGTAATACAGGTGGAATGAAATTTGATTCCTCGGACTCAGCAGCTTTCATTACGCTAATAATTTGGTTTCGTTCAGTTGGTGACAAACATGACAAATCCACTTCATCCATAATGTTTGAGGATGCGGAGAAAATCTTCGTCGTAGCAGATGACTTCGACTCTAATTCACTAACTGAGACAGAATCCACTATTAATTGCTCAGGAAAACCACCTTTGGTATCTCTGAAAATATCAAATTACGACAATACCATTAGTTCAGTGAAAAGAATTAACATGATTTGTATCTACAGATTACAAATTTTTGAGCAACCTTTGATCCTCGTTCTTGAAAAATGAATCCAATGTACGTGAAACAGATACTGATGATCTAGACACACTAGTCGATGCCGTGTCTAATTCAGCGCTTGCCATTACCGCCATGATTTTTTGACGTTCTTCTTCTGATAAATCGCCCAAACCAGGCAATAAATCATTTTCAGTAAAGGATGCATTTGGAGATATCGAATGTGATGACATTACCGTTTGCGGAGGTTTTGGCTACAAATTAACATCTATAAATTTCTCATTCATCAGCAGGCACTCTGCAAACAGCAATAAACCAAGCGTCAAATTTCGTAAAATTTGAAAAATCAACTTTCAACCATTTTTTTATTTCTTTTGTACTTAGAGATCATTAATATACAGATTTGAAGAAAATCTAACAGTTTTTAATTCTATTTCAAAGAAAAACCGAAAATATAGTGCAAGGATACGAAAAACAATACATCGAGAACAAATTTGGATTTAAACCTAAATGACCTAGTCAAACATCTTGCGGAAAATAATGAGACTAAAATGATTTTTTTCATCAAAGTAGAAAATACCTTCAAAAAAAAGTTTTAAATAAACTGCCGAAAATTTCACTTCATTACCAGCTTACTACGCTACCAGAAAGCCAAAAAAAATGCCTGCCAACCTTGGTAATCGTTGTTAAGTCAGAAGTAGAGGCAGCATACTGAGCAACTTGCGCAAGTTGCTCAGTAGCTTGTTTCGCTCCCTTGAATGCGTCACCGGCCAAACGCGACAATGAACCAAACATACTTTTTGCAGCAACACGTTGTTCACCTTCGGTATTTCGTTGATTCTCTTTTCCTGTGTTTACAAATTGAAGCAACATTTAAAATTGTGTTTAAAAAAGTAGGAAGTATTCATCCCTATAACTCTTACTGTTCTCACAAATGTTCATTTCAGAAACAAGACTTTTCAAGATTTTCAAATTGATCGATATGCTCATAACACATGGTTGGGATAATGTTCATCCTCTCTCCTGATTACTAAACAAAGACATTACCTGGTAAATACTGTTGTTGTTGTTGTTTTGTTTGTTGTAATGTTGCTGAAGCAGCCAAGTATGATGCATAAAGCTGCGACGTGCTCTCTCCGGAATGTACATCCAATGCTAACGTTTCTGAGAATTGCACTGCCGGTGCTGCTGCTAGTTGTGATGCTTGATCGATAGGCAAATGCGCAATGCCTGGGTTGCTTGTATTAAAGACTTTTGAAAGTTCGATCGATTCCGTTTTGAAATTCATGCGTTTGGTTGATGTTGTCATAGGTGATGATGAAGATGATGATGATAGCACTGGCAGCAAATGTAATGATTCTCCCGGTGCACTTTCTTTTTCCATTTCTAAGAGCAAATATTTTCGAACTTATTGAATGGACAGATACGATATCAAAAAAATCCAATATATTACATGTATTTGACTTTTGCTGTCTGATAATGCAAGGGAAATCAATTTCATTCAGAATAATCATAAAAGAAAATTAACGATGAATAAACTGAAGTTCATATTTACTGAATTTATTCAAAGTTTAATTCCACTTTGCCATCTGTATCAATCCACCATTAAACGCTTATTTTATTTTTGTGTTAGGATCAACATTTATTCAGGAATAAGTTTTGGGACTTGGTTCATAAGTGCACTGTTGTATGGCAAGCTTGTTTTTTCCATCATCTTATTTTTAAGCACTAATATTTCCTAATCATTATATACTTATAAGACTGCTGCTTCCACCTTTCTGGCTGCTGAATTTGCACTACTTCAGAATTAGGCTTTACACTAAAAAAGCTTCGTTCAAATTGTTTGATTTCAAAAACTTTAGGATCTCAAATTCAAAAGAAGCAAATTTTATGATATTACTATTATCAGCATTCGTTCATTCATATTAGCGAAGTAGTGGTTAAAATATATTAAAAACGAATAACAGAGTGGTGTCGAAAATATGAAATGGAATTCCTTTAAATATTTTCAGTATTAATAATTACATGGGCAACAATTCACAGAAATTATGTTAAGAATTATTTTGCTTAGCTCTATTTTGTCCACCTTTTAAATCCATACAATAAATTTTATAAATTTTAGCGACACGATCGGGCTGTCTATAAGATAGGCAGTTGAATAACTAAATAAAAATATTTTCGTTATTATTTAAATAGGTTAATTAAATTTTAGTGAACCGAAAGAATGTAATTATGGTCAAATTATACAATTTTAAATCAAAACCTGGGATTTCAGCAGTTTCTTCAGCACATAATGACTTTCTCAGCGAACTTAAACGCTCCTCTTCATACCATTTCCCAATGTTTATTTCGCGTCCAAGCTCCTCTAATGATTTCACTTCATTATTTTGTTCCACATGCGCCTTTTGCCATAATTTGCTTTGTTGATGAGCTCTTAAATCTCTCTCAACTGATCGTTCCAACGGCGTATCATTTGTAGTAAACTTTTTCAACGGTATTTCATCATGTAATATGTTCTCATTTCCTATATATTTGATGTTTACGTCAGTATTATTTATCACTTTATCATCATCGTCAATGATATGTAAGGTTTTCAATCCTCTTGCGTCAATTGTTGAATCTTTTTTTTGTAGTTCATATTCCTCATTTTCCACAATCATTTCGTTTACAAAATTTGCAATATCATTAACTTCTGAATCATCATTATTATACATAGAAACTTCTGATTTGTCTTCTGCATTCTCATGTTCGAACTGAAGATCAACCATTTTAATATGCTCAATTTCTTCTTTTGTTAACCCAGCAAATCTATCAACGCTCTGTTTATCTATAAGACTATCTTTTACGTCTAACTGTGCAGAAGCATGTGTTACATCTATCAAAAATGAAGAAGAGGCCATGTCTAAAATCCATTTGCTTTGACTGAATACTTCCGTTCCGCTGTTCGGCAAAAGCTCCGTATCAGTGGTATTTGGGATAACTTCCAAGGACAAGTCCATATCTTTTTTGTTTGTATCTTCTTTTGCTGTAGGTTCCTTCACTTTTGAAAAAGTAGTACCATTTTTAAGTTCCGAAGTTGAAGAAACTGTTTCAGGGGAAATGTCGGTCGACTCCAGATTGTTCTGATCTGTTTCTTCATCCTCATCTGATGTTCCTGGACCAAAATTTGATGACTCAGTTGAGGATATATATTCGGAATCTTGATTTTCAGGATATTCATTAACTGTTTGTACAGAAGTTAAGTCCTTCCTTGTTGTTGCCAAAACTTCAATATTACTTTCGTTTGCTGCTGATATGTCACTATCAAAATTTTGATTTTCAGAATATGCCTTCATTAATGTTCCCCAAATTTGCATGTTTGTTTTCGATATATCTTCTGCAGATTCAGCGTTTTTGGTAAGTTTTGTCTTATCAGCTTTATTGTTAAAGGACAGCGTCGTAATGACAGTGTTTTTGAGTGGATTCAGCATGCTAGTAAATTTGTTGAAAGCCACTTCACCTAGTGCTACATCCTTCTGCTGAAATTCCACTTCATTTATTTCACCGATCATGTCGTTTTTCGTGTTGAATCGTTCCAGAAGTGGCATTTCAAACTCCCAAATAGCATTTCTCTCCACTTCTTTGATGTGTTCCAGCTCTTCCTCAGTTAAACGATCCCCAAGCTTTTCTACAGCAACCAATTTATTTACTGTCAATTCTGGAACTTCCCTTCCTTCAAGCATTTTTGTGAATTGCCCTTCAAAACTGAAAATCTGCTCCATCTGTTTTGCTCGTCGTTCTACGGCTTGTATTTGCATCAATTCCTCCTCAGTCAGAACATTTTGTTGCATTATCTCCGTTTCTTTTTTCTCACACATACCATTTCCTTCTAATTGTTGTGTTCTTTCAACGGTGGGTATTAAAATGTTCTCAGGAAAGCGAATATCTTTGTTTTCTCTTGGATTCCTAACAATCGCTCTTTCCTCTACTCTCACAATAGCAAACAAATCCATTCCTTTTGCCTCTTCCTCCAAAGCATTTGTTTGCAGAATGTTGTATTTGGTCGAGCATTCATCTTTCTCTTCCTTTTGTTTGTTGATTTTCTCATCTAGAAATGAGCTGTCAACAATTTGCAATCCTTTTGACCCTTCTTCAGCAGCTCTGTTTTGTCCTAACTCTTCTTCGATCACACAAATGTACGGTTGTGTTTTTTGATATTTGTATTTTTCTATTTCTCCAGATGCAGAAACGCTGAATTCGTCTAATTTATCCAGCTGTTTTGCCTGCTCATTAACCAACCTAATCTGTTCTAATTCTTCATCACTCAAGTTGACACTCCTATTTTCCACCATTTTCCTCGAAATAGAATTATCGAGTCTGTCGGACTGATTCACTTGTTCCTTAAGCTCCTCATTATGAATTACTTCCTTCCCAGTTAGTTTCTTCCTTAGTCCTTCGTAATGTCGGGAAATTTTTATCCCTTCCTTACCTGCGGTGACAAAGTTTGCTTTGTTGACGTCTTCAAAAGAAATCGTTTTTATTACGAATGATTCCGAACTTGGTATTTCATGAAGTGAGTTTGCATCGCCCATGCTGTTAACTTCACTTTTATCTTCCGCTTCCCCTTTTCGTGTTTCATAAATCGTTTCTTTTGTATTTAATGTCTTTCCTGGTTCTTCCTTTTCAACCGGGAAAACTGTCACTGTTAGAGCATCCTTCATATTCGCCTCTGATCTCCAATCTATGGAACTCTCTGATACACTTAATTTTTCAGCAGCCTTTGATTCTCTTAATGAATTGGTATATGTGCTATTCTGTAGATTTTCAACAATTTCTTGAGTGATTCTTGAACAATTTATCCATTTAATGTCAGCACCCATAATTATAGCTGCTTCTTCGGCTTTTCGAATATGTTCCAACTCTGCATCTGGAATTTTATAACTGACTGAACTACTTCTGCTGTCTTGGATGTGAAGTTTTACATCCAAACTCGATTCCTGTTCAAGTTTCCCTCTACCAGTTTCCGGTGCTATCGCTTCAACAATTTGCTGTTCTCCCAGTTCTTCAGATAAGCAAATGCTTCCTAATGGTATCTCCAATATAACTGTTGATTTGCCATTTAATAACTCTTCAGACTGATTTGTGTCACCTGACGTTTGAGCAACGGTGCTGTCAAACTTCTTTACATCAGCGACATCAACTGAATCATCTTTGACGGTATCCGCATTTGTGACTTTGATAACAAATGGGGATTCACCTTTTTCGGCTTTTTCAATAACACCTTCGATATGTGTTCGTTCGCATAACTCGAAATCATTCATATCCGGAAGCTTGTACATAGATTGTCTGAAAACTTCACCTATTTTGGAATAATAAAATATTTTATTTGTCAACGCAAATCAAATATTATTGTCTTATAAATTAACTAGTCTGATATTCATCCTTTGATAATATAAAGAAAAAAATTAGAACATAAGGTTTTCTACTTTCCTAACGTAAAAAACAAAACACAGACTTTCTCGAGGCCGTCGGTGTTGATTGGCTACTTCGAGAGCGTCGATTAGCTGCACTCAGTACCTGAAATTCAAATTCAGATACATGTACAAAAAGCTGACTTCCTGTTTGCTAATATATGCCAGTAAATTAAACATAAAGTGGACAAGCTAGACGGAGAACACTACTGGTTTGCATGCTATATTCTATCTTAATCAAAAATTATACTGCGCTAAATAAGCAGGACATATTATTATAAGTACGTTCTCAACTAATTGGAATGAAAGACAACAGTATCTTGAAATTCTCAGACAAGACAACAAATTAAGATTGATCGATTTTCGCGAAATACACTCTCTAGAAACATTAATGGTAAAACAAACTTTTTCAATGTGATTGCGCTCTTCATTTGAAAGACCAGCTAGCGCACTATCAGGTAATTTTGTACTCATATCAGAACCATTGCTTGAAGCTCCTGAAGTTCTTCGAAGCAAATCCATGAATTCGTTTCTACCATCAGGAGAACTTTTTCGACTCGATGCATCGCTTTGTCGTTGACTTGTTCGCCAAAGAAATGAAATCGGAGAGCGTGGCCTATCCTCTCTATTAAACGTACCTCCACCAAATAAGGAAAACCAAGATGAACTTCGAGGAGAAGATTCAGATTCAGGCACAGTCACTAAGTGCGGTTCTCTTTTTTCAGTTAAACTGAAACAAGTAATCATATGACCAATTCTAAAGTTCATAAGTTGGAAGAAAAAAAAGTTTATTATGAGTGAAAGGTTTTAATGAAAAAAAATATAAGTAAATTGATGAAATATTACAAACGTATAAGTCCAGATTTGATAAAATCTAAACAATGTTAGAAATGATTCAGAGCTTACTATAGTTCTTTCGTAATTTCTGTGAAATAACAAGTGTTAAATCTTTCCAGTATAATTTCTAACCCCAATGTGATCTTTCTTTCGATTTCTTCATCACTTTCGGAAGGAGTAACAGGTGCTGACTCTGCCTGACTGTCGATATTAGCGCGCATTTCCGAGAAATACCTAGCTCTTGGATTAAGTACTGCTCTGAAATGATTTCCCAACTCCACAGCTGCAAGTTCGGCGACTTGTTCTGTTATCCGTTCTGCGAAAAAATTGAGGCGCATTAGGCAGTCCGCATGATGTAGCATGGATCCATCACCAACAATGCTTTCTCGCTCACAGCGTTCGAATACATTCATTCGGTAAGTCCCTCGAGGTTTCTCATTTTTCAATAGCCACGTTGAGTCACGTTCTAACGATTCTTTACCTTTGGCATTCTCCGTTTTTGTAAACGTGGAGTCTGACAACACAGATCCGGAAAGATAAAAAACCTCGGACCTTTTCCATTTTTCTTCTAAAGCAGATACTGATGTAATTAAATCAGAAGTTAAATGTCTATGTTCTATTGGGTTAATTTTAATTCCTATCTCTTTTAAATTTCCAGCCTTTCTTGTCGCATTTGATTTTGATTTATCTCCATCATCCAGAGTTTCTTCAACTCCATCGCTGTTTTCTGCTTTTCTTGATGTTCCAAATTGTGAAGCGAGTAAATTTTGATCGGTGTAGACCACAAAAACACTTGAAGCTCGAGTAAATGATGGTTTCATACCTTCAATATACGTTTTCACGGAATATTCTTCGTCGTTATTAAACGTTTTCCAAAAGTTAGCCCTTCCATAGTGTGGCATCTTTTCCGAAAATCGAAGATTGCGTGTCATTTTTTTATAGAGTCGATCAGTATAAGTTACTGTTGAAGTGACGTTGAATCCATCGGTAAGGTAATGATTCGAATGCTCTAAACTAAATTCGATTTCTCCGTTAGGTTGAATTCGTGAATATGATTTGTTTTTGCCAAATATAACGCCCTGTTCACCTTCGACTATTTCAGAGCATTTGCAATTCGATTTTGGAAAATTACTTATATTATCTTTGAACAATTGTTCATTTCTTCGAATTCCAACAAAGGAGTTATCCTTCAAGAGTTCCATCATGGATTTGCCGATAATCGATTGTTCCTGATGCTTTTCTTGTTCCGTCCGTTGTTCCCATGGTTTTTGAAATGCGAATTTTTTTTCCAAATCACACGACTTATCTGAGAGAACAATTTTTGAGTTCTTAAAATCTTTCATGGTTAATTCAGATCCACATTCCTGGATAGCAGCACCCAATTTACTTTGCTGTTTAGGGATTTCCTGTTTCATCATCGTGTTAATATGGCGGGATTCATTTTGTCTGTGCTGTTTTTCGTTGAAATAATCTATACTTGTCGCTGGACCAATTCCCACAACTTGTGGAATGTTAAAATGAGCAAATGATTTATCTATTATACCTGATAAAGCCAGCTGATCATTTACCGCAGCATCAGTAATCATTACGCCACTTATAACTTTACTAGACACCCCAGTTTCGAGCAGAATAGTCGCATCAGCTCCAGCTTCTGTTCTGCGCGAATGGTCAGAATCCCCACTGCCACTTTCAACAGTATGAAATTCAATGTTTTCCTGATCCGCTGTATACCCAATTCTAGAACTTTTTTGTTTTTCTAGTTCTTTTACCGATTTTACTGTTGCAGTTCCTTCAGTAGACTTAGGAATTTTTACATAACTATTATAGACAGAATGGGATTGTTCGAGTTCAGTATACGTCATTTCAGTTTCTCGGCATAAAACTTGAATTATGGGACTATAAGAATCAGCAAGTGGATTGCTCATCGAGCATCCGTTATCATAAATTGTTTGATCAGTTTGAATATTTTTTTGAATTTGATTGAAAATTTTCATCTTATGGTCTTCTATGTTAAGCATTCTGATAGATTTAACAACTTTGTTTCTATGTCCAAACAGTAACATCGAGTTCTCATCATCCTCTACGATCCAGCATTCAGAAGTAATGTCGGCAGATGGTGACAAAGTCAGAAGATGTGCTGGAATGGAATCATCGTCGTCAAAGGAAATTCTATCATTAGTTATATCCTTATTGCTGAATGCATTCATTTCATGTTCCATATCTTTAGTGAGAACATTTTTATCATCCAATGTTATGTTATCGGTTGCATCAAATGGCAAGATATTTTGGATCGGATTTATTGTCATATCTACAGAATGCTGTTGAGAATCGGGACCTGACGTTGCAGAACTTGTTCTCGAAAATTTCTCTGATTCATTTTCTTCAACGCTATATTCTTCGTAACCCGATTTTGTGCCTTCTTCTTCTTCTTCAACCCAATCCTTGTCGATAGGTAATTTTGTTTGAAATTTGCCGAACTCTTCTTCAGCCATGTACGAAACATGTGCTATATGTTCCAGTTCATCTTGAGTTAATTTAAATTCCGATTCTTTGTTTATGGCAACTTTTTGAGCATCCATTTCTTGCTCAACATTGCTAATAACATTTGTGTTGATATGTTCCATTTTTTTTACTGATAACAGATTTTTTTCTATCTTATCAAAAGTCTTAGAAGTAATGTCGGCAGATGGTGACAAAGTCAGAAGATGTGCTGGAATGGAATCATCGTCGTCAAAGGAAATTCTATCATTAGTTATATCCTTATTGCTGAATGCATTCATTTCATGTTCCATATCTTTAGTGAGAACATTTTTATCATCCAATGTTATGTTATCGGTTGCATCAAATGGCAAGATATTTTGGATCGGATTTATTGTCATATCTACAGAATGCTGTTGAGAATCGGGACCTGACGTTGCAGAACTTGTTCTCGAAAATTTCTCTGATTCATTTTCTTCAACGCTATATTCTTCGTAACCCGATTTTGTGCCTTCTTCTTCTTCTTCAACCCAATCCTTGTCGATAGGTAATTTTGTTTGAAATTTGCCGAACTCTTCTTCAGCCATGTACGAAACATGTGCTATATGTTCCAGTTCATCTTGAGTTAATTTAAATTCCGATTCTTTGTTTATGGCAACTTTTTGAGCATCCATTTCTTGCTCAACATTGCTAATAACATTTGTGTTGATATGTTCCATTTTTTTTACTGATAACAGATTTTTTTCTATCTTATCAAAAGTCTTAGAAGTAATGTCGGCAGATGGTGACAAAGTCAGAAGATGTGCTGGAATGGAATCATCGTCGTCAAAGGAAATTCTATCATTAGTTATATCCTTATTGCTGAATGCATTCATTTCATGTTCCATATCTTTAGTGAGAACATTTTTATCATCCAATGTTATGTTATCGGTTGCATCAAATGGCAAGATATTTTGGATCGGATTTATTGTCATATCTACAGAATGCTGTTGAGAATCGGGACCTGACGTTGCAGAACTTGTTCTCGAAAATTTCTCTGATTCACTTTCTTCAACGCTATATTCTTCGTAACCCGATTTTGTGCCTTCTTCTTCTTCTTCAACCCAATCCTTGTCGATAGGTAATTTTGTTTGAAATTTGCCGAACTCTTCTTCAGCCATGTACGAAACATGTGCTATATGTTCCAGTTCATCTTGAGTTAATTTAAATTCCGATTCTTTGTTTATGGCAACTTTTTGAGCATCCATTTCTTGCTCAACATTGCTAATAACATTTGTGTTGATATGTTCCATTTTTTTTACTGATAACAGATTTTTTTCTATCTTATCAAAAGTCTTAGAAGTAATGTCGGCAGATGGTGACAAAGTCAGAAGATGTGCTGGAATGGAATCATCGTCGTCAAAGGAAATTCTATCATTAGTTATATCCTTATTGCTGAATGCATTCATTTCATGTTCCATATCTTTAGTGAGAACATTTTTATCATCCAATGTTATGTTATCGGTTGCATCAAATGGCAAGATATTTTGGATCGGATTTATTGTCATATCTACAGATTGCTGTTGAGAATCGGGACCTGACGTTGCAGAACTTGTTCTCGAAAATTTCTCTGATTCATTTTCTTCAACGCTATATTCTTCGTAACCCGATTTTGTGCCTTCTTCTTCTTCTTCAACCCAATCCTTGTCGATAGGTAATTTTGTTTGAAATTTGCCGAACTCTTCTTCAGCCATGTACGAAACATGTGCTATATGTTCCAGTTCATCTTGAGTTAATTTAAATTCCGATTCTTTGTTTATGGCAACTTTTTGAGCATCCATTTCTTGCTCAACATTGCTAATAACATTTGTGTTGATATGTTCCATTTTTTTTACTGATAACAGATTTTTTTCTATCTTATCAAAAGTCTTAGAAGTAATGTCGGCAGATGGTGACAAAGTCAGAAGATGTGCTGGAATGGAATCATCGTCGTCAAAGGAAATTCTATCATTAGTTATATCCTTATTGCTGAATGCATTCATTTCATGTTCCATATCTTTAGTGAGAACATTTTTATCATCCAATGTTATGTTATCGGTTGCATCAAATGGCAAGATATTTTGGATCGGATTTATTGTCATATCTACAGATTGCTGTTGAGAATCGGGACCTGACGTTGCAGAACTTGTTCTCGAAAATTTCTCTGATTCATTTTCTTCAACGCTATATTCTTCGTAACCCGATTTTGTGCCTTCTTCTTCTTCTTCAACCCAATCCTTGTCGATAGGTAATTTTGTTTGAAATTTGCCGAACTCTTCTTCAGCCATGTACGAAACATGTGCTATATGTTCCAGTTCATCTTGAGTTAATTTAAATTCCGATTCTTTGTTTATGGCAACTTTTTGAGCATCCATTTCTTGCTCAACATTGCTAATAACATTTGTGTTGATATGTTCCATTTTTTTTACTGATAACAGATTTTTTTCTATCTTATCAAAAGTCTTAGAAGTAATGTCGGCAGATGGTGACAAAGTCAGAAGATGTGCTGGAATGGAATCATCGTCGTCAAAGGAAATTCTATCATTAGTTATATCCTTATTGCTGAATGCATTCATTTCATGTTCCATATCTTTAGTGAGAACATTTTTATCATCCAATGTTATGTTATCGGTTGCATCAAATGGCAAGATATTTTGGATCGGATTTATTGTCATATCTACAGATTGCTGTTGAGAATCGGGACCTGACGTTGCAGAACTTGTTCTCGAAAATTTCTCTGATTCACTTTCTTCAACGCTATATTCTTCGTAACCCGATTTTGTGCCTTCTTCTTCTTCTTCAACCCAATCCTTGTCGATAGGTAATTTTGTTTGAAATTTGCCGAACTCTTCTTCAGCCATGTACGAAACATGTGCTATATGTTCCAGTTCATCTTGAGTTAATTTAAATTCCGATTCTTTGTTTATGGCAACTTTTTGAGCATCCATTTCTTGCTCAACATTGCTAATAACATTTGTGTTGATATGTTCCATTTTTTTTACTGATAACAGATTTTTTTCTATCTTATCAAAAGTCTTAGAAGTAATGTCGGCAGATGGTGACAAAGTCAGAAGATGTGCTGGAATGGAATCATCGTCGTCAAAGGAAATTCTATCATTAGTTATATCCTTATTGCTGAATGCATTCATTTCATGTTCCATATCTTTAGTGAGAACATTTTTATCATCCAATGTTATGTTATCGGTTGCATCAAATGGCAAGATATTTTGGATCGGATTTATTGTCATATCTACAGAATGCTGTTGAGAATCGGGACCTGACGTTGCAGAACTTGTTCTCGAAAATTTCTCTGATTCACTTTCTTCAACGCTATATTCTTCGTAACCCGATTTTGTGCCTTCTTCTTCTTCTTCAACCCAATCCTTGTCGATAGGTAATTTTGTTTGAAATTTGCCGAACTCTTCTTCAGCCATGTACGAAACATGTGCTATATGTTCCAGTTCATCTTGAGTTAATTTAAATTCCGATTCTTTGTTTATGGCAACTTTTTGAGCATCCATTTCTTGCTCAACATTGCTAATAACATTTGTGTTGATATGTTCCATTTTTTTTACTGATAACAGATTTTTTTCTATCTTATCAAAAGTCTTAGAAGTAATGTCGGCAGATGGTGACAAAGTCAGAAGATGTGCTGGAATGGAATCATCGTCGTCAAAGGAAATTCTATCATTAGTTATATCCTTATTGCTGAATGCATTCATTTCATGTTCCATATCTTTAGTGAGAACATTTTTATCATCCAATGTTATGTTATCGGTTGCATCAAATGGCAAGATATTTTGGATCGGATTTATTGTCATATCTACAGATTGCTGTTGAGAATCGGGACCTGACGTTGCAGAACTTGTTCTCGAAAATTTCTCTGATTCATTTTCTTCAACGCTATATTCTTCGTAACCCGATTTTGTGCCTTCTTCTTCTTCTTCAACCCAATCCTTGTCGATAGGTAATTTTGTTTGAAATTTGCCGAACTCTTCTTCAGCCATGTACGAAACATGTGCTATATGTTCCAGTTCATCTTGAGTTAATTTAAATTCCGATTCTTTGTTTATGGCAACTTTTTGAGCATCCATTTCTTGCTCAACATTGCTAATAACATTTGTGTTGATATGTTCCATTTTTTTTACTGATAACAGATTTTTTTCTATCTTATCAAAAGTCTTAGAAGTAATGTCGGCAGATGGTGACAAAGTCAGAAGATGTGCTGGAATGGAATCATCGTCGTCAAAGGAAATTCTATCATTAGTTATATCCTTATTGCTGAATGCATTCATTTCATGTTCCATATCTTTAGTGAGAACATTTTTATCATCCAATGTTATGTTATCGGTTGCATCAAATGGCAAGATATTTTGGATCGGATTTATTGTCATATCTACAGATTGCTGTTGAGAATCGGGACCTGACGTTGCAGAACTTGTTCTCGAAAATTTCTCTGATTCATTTTCTTCAACGCTATATTCTTCGTAACCCGATTTTGTGCCTTCTTCTTCTTCTTCAACCCAATCCTTGTCGATAGGTAATTTTGTTTGAAATTTGCCGAACTCTTCTTCAGCCATGTACGAAACATGTGCTATATGTTCCAGTTCATCTTGAGTTAATTTAAATTCCGATTCTTTGTTTATGGCAACTTTTTGAGCATCCATTTCTTGCTCAACATTGCTAATAACATTTGTGTTGATATGTTCCATTTTTTTTACTGATAACAGATTTTTTTCTATCTTATCAAAAGTCTTAGAAGTAATGTCGGCAGATGGTGACAAAGTCAGAAGATGTGCTGGAATGGAATCATCGTCGTCAAAGGAAATTCTATCATTAGTTATATCCTTATTGCTGAATGCATTCATTTCATGTTCCATATCTTTAGTGAGAACATTTTTATCATCCAATGTTATGTTATCGGTTGCATCAAATGGCAAGATATTTTGGATCGGATTTATTGTCATATCTACAGAATGCTGTTGAGAATCGGGACCTGACGTTGCAGAACTTGTTCTCGAAAATTTCTCTGATTCACTTTCTTCAACGCTATATTCTTCGTAACCCGATTTTGTGCCTTCTTCTTCTTCTTCAACCCAATCCTTGTCGATAGGTAATTTTGTTTGAAATTTGCCGAACTCTTCTTCAGCCATGTACGAAACATGTGCTATATGTTCCAGTTCATCTTGAGTTAATTTAAATTCCGATTCTTTGTTTATGGCAACTTTTTGAGCATCCATTTCTTGCTCAACATTGCTAATAACATTTGTGTTGATATGTTCCATTTTTTTTACTGATAACAGATTTTTTTCTATCTTATCAAAAGTCTTAGAAGTAATGTCGGCAGATGGTGACAAAGTCAGAAGATGTGCTGGAATGGAATCATCGTCGTCAAAGGAAATTCTATCATTAGTTATATCCTTATTGCTGAATGCATTCATTTCATGTTCCATATCTTTAGTGAGAACATTTTTATCATCCAATGTTATGTTATCGGTTGCATCAAATGGCAAGATATTTTGGATCGGATTTATTGTCATATCTACAGATTGCTGTTGAGAATCGGGACCTGACGTTGCAGAACTTGTTCTCGAAAATTTCTCTGATTCATTTTCTTCAACGCTATATTCTTCGTAACCCGATTTTGTGCCTTCTTCTTCTTCTTCAACCCAATCCTTGTCGATAGGTAATTTTGTTTGAAATTTGCCGAACTCTTCTTCAGCCATGTACGAAACATGTGCTATATGTTCCAGTTCATCTTGAGTTAATTTAAATTCCGATTCTTTGTTTATGGCAACTTTTTGAGCATCCATTTCTTGCTCAACATTGCTAATAACATTTGTGTTGATATGTTCCATTTTTTTTACTGATAACAGATTTTTTTCTATCTTATCAAAAGTCTTAGAAGTAATGTCGGCAGATGGTGACAAAGTCAGAAGATGTGCTGGAATGGAATCATCGTCGTCAAAGGAAATTCTATCATTAGTTATATCCTTATTGCTGAATGCATTCATTTCATGTTCCATATCTTTAGTGAGAACATTTTTATCATCCAATGTTATGTTATCGGTTGCATCAAATGGCAAGATATTTTGGATCGGATTTATTGTCATATCTACAGAATGCTGTTGAGAATCGGGACCTGACGTTGCAGAACTTGTTCTCGAAAATTTCTCTGATTCACTTTCTTCAACGCTATATTCTTCGTAACCCGATTTTGTGCCTTCTTCTTCTTCTTCAACCCAATCCTTGTCGATAGGTAATTTTGTTTGAAATTTGCCGAACTCTTCTTCAGCCATGTACGAAACATGTGCTATATGTTCCAGTTCATCTTGAGTTAATTTAAATTCCGATTCTTTGTTTATGGCAACTTTTTGAGCATCCATTTCTTGCTCAACATTGCTAATAACATTTGTGTTGATATGTTCCATTTTTTTTACTGATAACAGATTTTTTTCTATCTTATCAAAAGTCTTAGAAGTAATGTCGGCAGATGGTGACAAAGTCAGAAGATGTGCTGGAATGGAATCATCGTCGTCAAAGGAAATTCTATCATTAGTTATATCCTTATTGCTGAATGCATTCATTTCATGTTCCATATCTTTAGTGAGAACATTTTTATCATCCAATGTTATGTTATCGGTTGCATCAAATGGCAAGATATTTTGGATCGGATTTATTGTCATATCTACAGAATGCTGTTGAGAATCGGGACCTGACGTTGCAGAACTTGTTCTCGAAAATTTCTCTGATTCATTTTCTTCAACGCTATATTCTTCGTAACCCGATTTTGTGCCTTCTTCTTCTTCTTCAACCCAATCCTTGTCGATAGGTAATTTTGTTTGAAATTTGCCGAACTCTTCTTCAGCCATGTACGAAACATGTGCTATATGTTCCAGTTCATCTTGAGTTAATTTAAATTCCGATTCTTTGTTTATGGCAACTTTTTGAGCATCCATTTCTTGCTCAACATTGCTAATAACATTTGTGTTGATATGTTCCATTTTTTTTACTGATAACAGATTTTTTTCTATCTTATCAAAAGTCTTAGAAGTAATGTCGGCAGATGGTGACAAAGTCAGAAGATGTGCTGGAATGGAATCATCGTCGTCAAAGGAAATTCTATCATTAGTTATATCCTTATTGCTGAATGCATTCATTTCATGTTCCATATCTTTAGTGAGAACATTTTTATCATCCAATGTTATGTTATCGGTTGCATCAAATGGCAAGATATTTTGGATCGGATTTATTGTCATATCTACAGATTGCTGTTGAGAATCGGGACCTGACGTTGCAGAACTTGTTCTCGAAAATTTCTCTGATTCATTTTCTTCAACGCTATATTCTTCGTAACCCGATTTTGTGCCTTCTTCTTCTTCTTCAACCCAATCCTTGTCGATAGGTAATTTTGTTTGAAATTTGCCGAACTCTTCTTCAGCCATGTACGAAACATGTGCTATATGTTCCAGTTCATCTTGAGTTAATTTAAATTCCGATTCTTTGTTTATGGCAACTTTTTGAGCATCCATTTCTTGCTCAACATTGCTAATAACATTTGTGTTGATATGTTCCATTTTTTTTACTGATAACAGATTTTTTTCTATCTTATCAAAAGTCTTAGAAGTAATGTCGGCAGATGGTGACAAAGTCAGAAGATGTGCTGGAATGGAATCATCGTCGTCAAAGGAAATTCTATCATTAGTTATATCCTTATTGCTGAATGCATTCATTTCATGTTCCATATCTTTAGTGAGAACATTTTTATCATCCAATGTTATGTTATCGGTTGCATCAAATGGCAAGATATTTTGGATCGGATTTATTGTCATATCTACAGATTGCTGTTGAGAATCGGGACCTGACGTTGCAGAACTTGTTCTCGAAAATTTCTCTGATTCACTTTCTTCAACGCTATATTCTTCGTAACCCGATTTTGTGCCTTCTTCTTCTTCTTCAACCCAATCCTTGTCGATAGGTAATTTTGTTTGAAATTTGCCGAACTCTTCTTCAGCCATGTACGAAACATGTGCTATATGTTCCAGTTCATCTTGAGTTAATTTAAATTCCGATTCTTTGTTTATAGCAGTTTTTTGAACATGATTTTCCTTGTCAGCTGTTGAGTTGTGAATTTGAATACTTTGCGCATAAAGTTTTCCTTCGACCCATTTGCTAACACTATCGGTTAGTTCCAAATCTGTTGCTGGCGGCATTTTGGTCTCTCCCATATGCAGGCTTTTCTCCGCTGTTTCCTGTTGTAGATTGATGCAGGTATCAGAAAATGATTTCTCGACCTTGCCAATTTGATTGATTTTTACTTCATTTAAAGTGAAATCTGAATCTTTCTTTTCTCTCCTTTCATGAGGCACTTGTTTTAAAGCTATTAATTCTTGAAAGATCTGTTGGTTGAAATAAACAGTTTGTGCTTGTTTTTTTCTTAATACCAGTCCATGTTTCTCCTGATCAGCATTAGCAATCACTTCCCTTGCTCTATTGTTCGATGTTCTGTTAAATTTAGTAATTGTTGAAGCTGCTGATAATGATTTGCGATTATGAGACTTTGAATCTTCCCTACAACTAATTTTGAAGTCTCTCGTTTTCGGCTTCACCTTAATGTTGGTGTTCTCAGCGATTATACCCACTCCGATGGTTTCAAAAAAACGGACATGAGATTCTGAATCCTCATTGCTATTACTTCCTTCTGTATTCTTGTAAGAGGCTCTAGTTCCCAATTGCTGCTGATCATATGGTTCTGCGCCTCGCACTTCGTTTTTCATATATGATTGTCCGCTGTTATCGGCAATTACTTCCTCTTTTAAAGCATTCGAACAAACACAAGCGGCGGATACAGTCATGTCTGGCTTAAACGTTGACGATTTTGCATTGTTCGTTGCATCCAGTTCATATGTACAGACACGAGAATGAATAGTATTACTCATTAGTGAGTGCACACAATCGATTTTTTGTTGGTCATAACTTGGTTCATGGAGCGGGGAATCTAAAAGATATGTTTCAGTTGGATATTGTTGAGGAGATGCTATTTTATCAGCAATCTGATGGTTCCGCAGTTCATTTCCTTTCGATTTGGATTCCTTAAAGTCTCTTGAAGAGAATATTTCCATTCCAAAGTTACCAGCACTGTCACTGATAGGACCGCTTAACGACTTATTCTCAAAAGTTAAGGTAACATTATATGCAGATGTTGAGTGATAAGTTGACCTAGTCCCAATTTCAGTTTCTTCTATTTTTTTACCAAAATTCTGCTGTCCAAGGCTTCTATTTAAATGAAGTTCAAACAGCAAGTCATCAGCTTCATTTTCTTCCCTCACCTTAGATGTTGATCTGTTTCTTGTGTTGGTGCTTTTATTGTCTTGCATTTCCTCAATATTGATTTCTAGGTTTTGGTCCAGAGCTCTTTCAAAACCATCGTCAACTAGAGATGCATTTTCAAGTTCTGATGTTGCAGGATCTTTCTTTGATATTTTTTCGCTCGTCCTGAATAATTCAGATTCTAATATTGAATCTTTGTTTTTAATAGAATTTTCAATTTTTGTGTCTGCTTGCATGGTACCCTTAGCCGTACATATAACATTTACGACTTCTTCTTGCTCTTTCGCAGTCGATTCTTCAAAAATTTTCAGTTTGTTTACTTCATTCTTTCTACTTCTAAGTGTTCGATAAATATCAACAGTATTAATCATTATGAATGAATCTGGAGCTTCCGATGCTTTATTCTCACTGTCTCTTTTTTGCCCTATGAGATTATCGTTTTGGTGTGCTTCACCTTCAGTTTCCCATCCTTCTGTTTCGATGTTTAAATCATATTTTATTTCGTCATGTTTTGTTTTACTTATTGAGTATGACAGCCCATAATCTCCATAATTCTCCAAGTTTTTCTGTCGCAGCTCATGTTTTTTCTGGTCTTGAAGTTTTGTTATTTTTGCCATTGTTAATCCATTAGAATTTGTTCCAATCTTTTCGAATTTCTTTAAATGCATTCCTTGAATTTCGAATTTTGTACCAATTTCTTCGTTTGCAAGTTCATTCCACTCCTGTTCCTCCATTGTGAATGATTGTTCTTCCTCAGTCTTCTCCTTTTTTATTACTATATCGAATCCAGGATATGTCTTGTCTAGAACACTCGAAGCAGTGGAGTTGGTCTCATCAAATTTCATGATCGAGGCCGAATTTGATTTCTGCTTGTTAAACATCGGATGTCGTTCATCTAAAGTGTAACTGAATAGATCTCCCGAATTATCTTCGCATATGACGTCTTTATCAATAGCAAACTGCGTTATAATTTCCTCAGTGTTATGTAGTTTATCAAATTTACAGCAACTTTCGAATTTTTGTTCTTTAAAGTCATTGAATTGCCAAATTGGTTCTTCCATATCTTGGACTTTCTTTTCTGGCACGTTCGAGGCTCTATTCTCGAATGTAGATGAAAAGCTAGATTCTAAAGATATTTGTTTACCGTGAATTTTGTGAATCTGATTAGGAGAGGACAATGCATTTTTCACATTATTCTCTTCAAATTCATTAAGATTGTCTGCAATTTTGGTTGTTGAATTTGAGAGAAATTCAGAATGGGATAAACCTTGCTCCTTTCCAACTAATATATTCTTTCTTCCATTTTCATTCGTCATCTGGCTGTGTATACTGTTTTTAGACTTCAATGTTTCATTTAAAGACCTCCAGTCTGAACATACCAAGTCTGTTTCCATAAGTTGTTCCAATTTCATTTCACTGTCAAAGATGGACGTTGCGTGATTTATCATCGCATTTAATGTAGAAGATGACCATTCCTCTAAACTAGTCGTCAGATCGAATTCTGGATTATACATATGTTTTTCTTGGCCGAAAGTTTTCACCTGAATTGTTTGCAGTGTTTCTTCATCCGACGCAGCACATTCGGCCTCTTTGATGATTTGTTCTATGTATTTCATCACTTCATTGTTTCGTGTCCTTTCATCATTTCTTAACTGTTCCATTGAAATGGAAGTGGATTTTTCCATATAGAAATTTTCGCTATGAGACCATTCTGAATCGAGCTGTTGTTCGGTATTCCAACCTGTTTCTGAAAATTCAGAAACAGAACTCTCTCTAGATACCGGTCTACTTTGCTTTTTAGTTTCGCAGACGCCAATAAATGGATTCGTGTAAATATCTCTATTCGGATCCACCTCATAAAGTATCAGTGGCGGACTCATCTTTCCATGAAGTTGTTGCTTCATGTAGAGATGTAAACTCTGTTTTTCATTGTCCAATAAAGTGTATTCATTTGCAAATTCATCAGATGACACACTGCAACTACTTTCATCAAGGCTGCTGTAATCATTTATAGAAGGGAAAGAATTTATTTTTGCTTTCTGAACGTTTTCCTGAGCCGATGAAGTTAGTTTAATCCCGAAAAACTGTTCCTGTAATGCGGATCCTTGTTTTTTCAGCATAACATCAGCCAGAACTAAGGCTAAAATATGAATCCAGAGTTCTTCTGCAAAGTTCTGTAATACAGATGTTAGCTCTTGTGAAAGCTTTTCTTTATCGTCTTCCAAAAGCACATAACAAAATTCTTGCGCACAGTCATCATCAAGTTCTGCAAATTAAGCTTAATCAAAATTATTACAAAATTTACAGCTTCATGTGTAAGTTTTATGTATTGGTTGCATTTAGGTAGCATGTTCTCAGCAATTTTGTTTTTCTTTTTTGTATGTTGTACTTGAACAAATTCAGCTATATAGAAAATAACCTGAATGATGATACAGCGCTGACTCTTGATCAATGAGATGTGCCAAGGATTGAATACATTCACAAGAAATTGATTTTTTAAAGGTTGTAGATGAAGCACGCAGTAAGGCAATATGCACGTTACGATCGTTTTTCGACCAGTTCGCATGTAGCGGTTCTTGGCCACCAAGTAATTCTACGGCATTCATATATACACACTTAAAGATGTTGATTGTCAGTTCGGAGCAGTATCTATCTATCGCTGCATCGGTCCCATATTTCAGCTTTAATTCGTTATATACAGCAGTAAATATAACGGTACATAACCAATGACAGTACTGATCCAGAACACATTTACAGACAGAATCAGCAATGGCCAGTGTACAGATTTCATGTGACATCTTAGACACATATTTCGCAAAACCTGTATTCGTTTCTATATTGAGAGGAGTTGAAAAGCGAACCACTATAAAAAGAACACATTTATTAATTTCATTCAAAATGACTACATGTTTTCTCCTATTTGTAAAATAATACCAGAGTTTATACCATGAATCATTTGGTTGTACTGATTATAAAATGGTTGGTCATTCAGAACTTCAGCAAATCATTTGAAGACGAGTATTATTCATTTATAAAACTCACATTTTCGTGCAGACGTTAGTATATCATCTCCATCGTCATCAAGAGAACTCATCCAGCGGTATAACTGCCTACTGAGTCGTTTAATGCTTTGTGTAAAATTTCCAGGTTGTTCGCTAAACGAATCTAAAAATATCTCACTTGAAAACAATTTCCAGTTATGTGTTTCTAGAATTTAATCGATACCATTTTTCGGTGCTGCTTTGTTAAATTTTTATTGTTATAGCAGTCATCATATTAAAAGAAAATAATCTCAGAAAAAATACCTTTCGTGTCTTTCGAGTCACTCACCGAGGATTCTGAATAACTGTAACTAGGATTCAGCAACGAATCACGTGCTTCGGTGACTTCTATTGCTTCAAGAAAATGTTGAAAAATTAGTTTGACTATCAATCTATAACTTTTTATAATTCATGCAAAGACTTTCTCAAATCATGTACAAAAGTTAAAAAAAACCGTACTTTCTGGAAGTGAATCCATCTGTACAAAGCTTTCATTCCGAACGGTAAAAAATTCTTCATTTTCGTCAACTGTTCCTCGAAATCTTGCATCACTGAATCTCGAAAGTTTTCTTGTGTTCAGCACAATTCGAGCTTCCTTTTGTGACTGTTCTGCTCGCCGGAAAACCTGTAATGAGCATTAACTTGAAGCAATGGAGAACTGTATTGAGTATTGAGTTGACAAAATTGATTTGTTAAGTTCATGTCAGCTCAAGGCAAACGAAAAACACTATAGTTATGCAGATTATTATCTTTTATTGCTAGAGTAGTTATTTTGAACTTGCGAGCATGTGTTCATTAGTTATAATAACGTTATTAGTTCATAACATCACAATAATTCATTTTACTCAAAGTTAAAGTTATAATAGATCGATAACGAAAAAGGGAGCGATAAAAAACCATACTTCCTTTATATGAGCTTGCTGTTCCTCATCCAATTCCTGTAGAATTGATGGATTTAAAGGTGCATCTTCCAATTCTTCTGAATTGTTCTCTTCTTCTTCGTCTAATTTTCTTAACCTACAATACAGTTTATATTTACACCAGGTTGAAACAGATAAATTTCATCGCTTTATAGTATTTTATAGATCCCCATGCAGTAAGTGAAACCGTTACACCTTACTGTCATACAACCTTTTTCTTTCAAATTATCCTAATTGATTAGACGAATAAATTACAGAATCAATTGAAATTTATAACTTCTGGAAAATTTATAATTGTGGCGACAGAGATGCATCATTTCCGAAAATTTTTGTTTGAAAACTGTTTGAAAACTTTTTTAAAATTAGTTTAATCAAGATAGCAGCAAGCATTTGGAATATATTTAGTGCAAAATTTTGCTTGTTTTTGCTATCTAATAAACTCACCGAAAAAACGTTAACCAACTTGACATTTCGTTCGCTTGATCTTGAGGCAATTACATTGTTTTCTAAATTTTAACAAGATTTAGCCAACATTTAACGAACCGAAGCTGGTATAAATTTTACGATTAAAATTTCATTATGATCCCTTAATAACATGATTCGTCATAGTTCAGCATAATTTTTTATATCTCTTGATACAAAACACAAAACTTCAACCATAAATTTTCAGTGCATTATTATTTTTTGATGTAAATCCATACACTAATACAAATTTACAAATAGTGTAATTTCTGTCATTCTTTTGCTTTTCCTCTTCATATGAAAATAAAAAGCATAGTTTTCAAAACTGTCGCATTAAAAATCAGCTGTCAGCAAGCAAACTCTCACATTAAGTTAGTTAAAAAAAAAATAAAGTTATCGAGTTATCAGCCAAAACGACTAGAAGAAAAACAACTGGCAATAGGAGGATATAATAGAAATATTTATCAAATGTATGAAGTGATGAAAGAATTCAGATATAATACGGGAATAACTTAACACTGGTATTTTTCATAAGAAATGTGAATAGGATGAATGATTAAAAGCTCGTCAAAGTGCTGTTACCACTAACTGAAAAAAAGTTAGTAAATGGGCGACTTCGATCTTTTAATTTATTTTCAAAGTTATTATTGCTGAATTAAACAAAGGAAAGGCCTTATCAGAATTCAATTTCATTGTTTTCTAGATCGAATTCCATCATTAAATTGCAAAACACAGTTTTCTTGAAAATAGTGATTTTGTTAACGAAATAACGGCAGACGGAATTGAGACAATCCGCTCTGTATGCTGGGAAAGCTGAATCAATAAATTTTTTGAATAAAGATATTCCTGAATGATTGTTAGTGATTCATTTTTGTGCCGAGAAAAGTATTATAAAGAAAATGATGGATTTGGACTTATTCATTGAATACATAGTTATGAAACCGATTTAACCAATTTAGCAAACATTGAAATAGACAAGCAGGGACTTATGGTGATGGAATAAAATTCAGTGAAAAGATTTCTTGTCAGTTTTTTAGAAAAAAATAAGGCATTTTGCAAATTTTCATAAATTGAGTGAAATTATTCAGCGGCGTTTTATCTCATAACCGATTAAAAGTGGGACAAAAAAAAGAAATTTGCAGAATATTATTTACCATAGTAAGCCATCCTTAATGTATCGTCCATCAATCAGCGCTGATATGAAAGAAGAATCAATACTATTTTATCTATTAATTATACAGGATATTAAAAATACAGTGACCTTTTGCAAAATTTGGAAACAGATTTACGTATATATATTTTACAAATATATTGCTGAGACAGAAAAAGTATGCATAATGAATACATAAGTCACTTAATAAATAATTGGAGATAATGAAAAAATGGAAATATAGACTGTGGTATTTTGAGTCTATATTTTTGCGATCGCAGGTTGCGAAGGAAACCGATAATAAAAAATATGATGATAAATTAAGATTGCAATGAGGATGAGGAAAGTAATAATATTGATAAGAATGAATTAATGCAAGAGATACAAAGTTTGTGACGGAACTTTTACTTTAAGCTATTGATTCTTTTCAATGCAAACCAAAGCATACATTATTCAAGAAGTTATCCTTCTCAACTTGTTATGCCAAAGGATTTTTTTTGAGAGAGCACGACAAGGAAAAACTGAATGTAATGAGAGAGATGTAGTATCAGCACATACCTATTACTTACTTGATAGTATCACTTTGTAAAAATACTATTCCTTCACGATACTGCGCTGTTCTCACCTAACATTGAAAAAGAAAATTTAAAAATCAAGTTTAGTGAAACTGGTGGAAGAAGTGTTGAAATTGAAATTGGTCAAAAAGTTTGAAAGAGTGTTGAATTAACAACATTCAAATGACAAGTAACAGCGAAAAGGTAATCAGTCTAAGAGGAAACAACATCACAATCTTGAAAAGGCTTAAGCTAATGCGTGATTATTTTAGCGCAAGACAGATTTGGGTGAATGGAACAAGAGGATGCCGGAAATGTAAAATGGTTATCCCAGTTGAAAAACGGTTAATTAACAAAATAGGACGGAAATAAGAGAAAGAGACTGCTGTTGCTGGAATGGAATTTTCCAGGATCTGCTGTCAAAAGCTGCTGCGGTTGGAAGTACAGCAGTCTCTGCATTCTTATATGTCTCTATATGAATTTTTATTGCTCTTGCTGTGCTTCGTTTTCGCTCGTTGCATAAACAGCGATGCTGCTGAAGCCAATTAGAAAAAGGCTCTTTGGCCAAACCTCCGCCATTTCATCTGTGCCCGGAGTGACAACTAGCGATCAATGGAATCGCATGAGTTCTCACATCCTACTGCTTCATCGTTTTTCTGGACTCTACTGAACTAACTTACCATTCTGTTTCCTTTCACTTGATAAGACAATCGCAAGCTCTTACAATTGTGATGAACTTTTGTTTCAGTGTTTTCATTTCTATTTAATACAGTAAACTGTCTTCCCTCATTTATGAGAAGACATGGATAGACCGTTTTTCGTTTTATTTTATTTTTTAACTTTATGCTTCCTGCATTTCGATACAAAAACAAAAAAAAAAAAAAAAAAGAAAAAGAGGAATAGTGGGATAGTGAAACGAAAACTGATCCACGTTTTACAGTGGTAGCTTTCGATTCTCAGACCTAATTTCTTATTATCAATAAAATCAATACACTTCTTATTCTCACGTTTTGCTTTTCAAGCTTGTATTTTGACGGATTTAAAGACACATGTATTTTTTTACTTTTTAACTCGCTTCATATTTAGGATGCAATATACTGCTCATGATACGTTTGGAGGTGGATATGACTATGATCGTCCTAATTATTATGCAATCCTTGGATGTGATAGGTGCTCAACGGTCGGTAAATATAAATAAATTCTTTCCATTCTTTCTTTAAAAAACTTATATAGGACATAATTCTTATCAATTCAGTAGGGGTTTCCTATATATTACAAGTTCTCTGCATTCTTGAATTTCATTTTTAGAAATCACAAATTATAGCGGAGTATCGGCAGCGAATACGGCAACTTCATCCTGACAAATCATTAAAACAAGTACCGGAAATATTTCATGAACTGCAGAAAGCTAAGGTCAGTTACACTTCCCTCCTTAACAGTACTGTTTAAAATTTTTAAATTCAACATGGTTCGAAGGAATTTTGTTTTAAAGGTCACTTTAGCAATGATGGCAGATATGAGTTCATTTATGAGTTGCAGTGTAATTGGAATCATGTTCCTCAAACTTTAATTCAGTGGTTACCTCACAACTATAGTTTGCAATCTTTTGATATATTACCAGAAATTATCTGAAACTGTTTAGAATATTCTAATAGATGATGAGACGAGGCGAATGTACGACGCTTGGTTTGATTGCTCCATCAATATTCCTTGGCGAATGTGGCTCGAAAATTCTCACAACTTTTTCGTAAGTATTTTTTGCCACTGTGCATCTAAAATAATGAAAGGATTATATATCTTTAGGCTCGAATTTGAAAATAAAAACATTTACATTTTTTTTTTGATTCATTTATATCTGGATTATGAAAACTAATGGAAAATTGTCGCTGCTTATGTGACAGAAAATAAAACACGACAGGTGATAAAAAGTTTGCAGGGTGTACACTGGACAAGCCGAGTTCACAGTTTACCCGCTCTTAAATATCGAAAAGGAGAAACAAAAATGGAAGATTCATTCGTAGGCGGAATATTGTGTCAGCCATCCTCTCATCATTCTTTATTACTTAATAAGTTCAGACATTATGAAATTTGATGAGTTAATTTTTATATGAATTCCGCAACAGTGTTTCAGAAAACATTTTGATAAACTAAAATCCATCAACCATAACGAAAGATATGGATTTATTTTTGCTGATTATTTAATTTATAAATTAATTTTTCAGATGTTCAGCATTGCTCATATAATGAATAAGAATAAAATGTCAGCTTCAAATTTTGAGTGCAATAATAAGAGTGAATTTAGTTTTAACTCATCATCATCATCGCCATCTCTTTCCAAGGATATATTTCAAAGAATTACTGTTAGCATTATAATCTCAGCTCAGTCATAAAAAAAATTTCCGCATTGTTTGGATGGCAGAAAGTGATCTAATACTTTAGAAAACAATGATTTCGGCTCGTTGAGTTGATGAACTGATCAACGATATCAACGAAGAGCTAACATAAACTAGTAAGATTATCGGATGAGCCAATTTTTGAAATTGAAAATATGGATGATATCTAAAAATTAGAATAAGCGAGAGGAAAGTCACAAAAAAGGACGTCAAACTTGCAAAAGAAGAATTTCTCGTTCGCGATAAGCGAAACTTCAAGAACAGTTGTGAAAAAAGAAATCCGACTACACCATAGTGAAGGAAGACAAAGAGAAAGAGAGGGGGAATAATTTTACTTTTATTTAATGACATAACTGCGTTTTGCTAACAGTCCAAGTCTTTGATAGATGGGAGCACTTCATCCACACTATTTCTTTTGTAGAAAAAGTAGAAAAGAAGTTCAAAAATAAATAACAACAATAAACCATGTATTTGCGGTCATTGTTTTGGTATCTACCCAACTTTCTGGGAAAACATGTTGCACACTGATGTCGTTCGTTCCGCATGTTAAAATTCAATCTCGGACGTCGTCTAGTAATTCAATCCATCTATCTGGGGTGTTACTTAATACAAAGCCAGCAGCGTTTTACAAGTAGCTCTGGGGTATTCTGTTTTCTTGGCAAAATAATTTTTCATGAATTTAATTGGATTGCTAAGAATAACCCAGAAATATCAATTGGATTAATGAAGATTCCTGTGATAGTGCTTACTCCACGTGTTTGTATTTTTAAATGTGACATATAGTTAATAGGAAAGGATGAGGAGAACAAGCACAAAATAATATATGATAATGTTTTATGTAACTTTCATCTTGAAAACACTAAGTGCTCTGGAAGATATGGTTCCTTCCACAAACTTTGTGTTGAAAAACGTAATGATGATGGATAATTATAGTCAACTTTGTTTAGCGAACTTTCTGTATGTTGTATATGGCAGCATAGGCAATATTCTGTATAACGAACTTCTGAGTTATTTCATTGGTATTTGATCCTTTAGAAATATGGTTAAATTTGTTGTAGGTTATTTTACTGAGAGTCCATTTCTTTTAAATGCAGCTACTGGAAAGACATTAAAAGCGGTCACTAATTTACTTTTCCGTAGGTTCATATTTCGTCACTCATAAGCTGAAAAGTATGCTGAAACCTAGATTCAAACTGGAATTAGTCCAAGGAAAAATCTTTTGTGTACTTCTGCAGAGGATGAAATGTGGAAAAAAGTGTTGGGAACATATTTTTCAAGCAATAATAGGACGCTATTAGTTCCGAACTGTTTGGAGTTTATAAGTTTGTCGAGATATTTGGATCATGAAGTGAAATACATATGTGGCTTTGCTATTTGAGTAAAATATTATAAATTCAGGAAGAGATGTTTTTGAAGTGTTTTGGAGCTTCGTTCGATATTTGAGATACGGTGCAAGACTACACCTTCAAAGAAAGCATTGAACTGGTAAGTATTTAAAATCTCGCACTTCGATCATTCGTATTTTCATACTGAACTTTTAGAAATAATCAGCCTTGTGATACTTGGGCAAGGCATTATTACTTGAGCAAGGATAGAGAGCAGTACTGAGAGGGATAAAGTGTGGTATTATAATTTCTGAACCTCTTTTTTCCATTGGACTATGTTTTTTTCTTACGCATTTATTTCTGTTTTTCTGAAATGATTTATGAAAGAAAATGCCTTTAGATAATTTTTGTATGGATTTCATATGCGTGCTTTCATATTCAGTGGAAATCGTGAGCCAATGATAAAGTCCCAACAAAGTAATAACCAAATAGGGACGGCGGGACATCTAGTTGTCGCACATTCTTGTTATTTTGCAACAAATTGCATGTTTTTACATGTCTTCAGCAGTTTTTTATTATGAGTAGATTCCCTATCCTTAGTTCTATAATCATTTTTGTTTTTTTGAAACTGACCTATTTAATAGGGGAGATGAAATTATTTGCTGCTTCAACCTCGAACGAGAAAATTCGCAGATGATAGGTGCCTTTGTCTTTATTGGGTATCATTGCCGAGGAAATTTATTAGTGAAAAGAAATAGTTTCTTTTTTTTTCTTCTGTTCGCGTACGACACTTGTATAGATAAAGAAATGAGCAAACAAAATTTAAGTTGAGATAAAATGGAGAAAAAAGTTATGTGAAAAATCGGGCAACTACGAGGAGATATCACATAAACTTTAGTAAAACGTTAGAATTCTCATGATGGGAAAACGCATTTTGTGAAAACGTTTAAAGCATCATTTTCGTTTCTCACAGCACGTTGCGCCTCTTTTACAGATGTTCTACACAGTAGTGCAGAGTTCCTGTCCAGTCCTGAAATGAAAGTTATTCTTTTTCTTTTGGCTGAAGCCATTTCGATCTTTCATTCCTTTTGTCTTTTAAGCAATATGAATCGGAAAATTCTTGAGCCAGCTTACAAAAAGTCTAGTTTTTGCTTCATTAGCGGTTTAATGCTGCTATGTTTAAAAAAGTTCGTGAATTCGTTGTCATGCTCATCTCTTTGTCTTTATCAATCTTCCTAGTCAGTCAATATAATTTTGGTGACAATAAAGTTTTGGCGATAAGCCGTGTATTAGAATTAAACAATCTTGTCACTTCTCTAAGAAGTGGAAGCAGGAAAAAGTTTGAACAAAGGGTTAGGGGAATAAAGGATGTGTTAGTTCATGATGGTAAGTTGAAGAGAAGTAGGAAGTGATTAGTGAGGTCAGGTCATAAAACTTTCCGTTGCACCAGTTATTTTGATCGGATGAATGTGAAAGATAACAGCATTGCGAACAGTATGCTCTTAACCAACTAGTATGAGAAAATGAAATTCGCATTTTCACTACAGTTTTAATCATGTTATACTATTGTGATTTTATTTTGTAATGTATGAAGCCACTGATAGATAACTGATAAAGTACTGTTGAGATGAAAGAGAATAGGGCAAGGAAGGGAAGGAAGACGTGGTGAGGTTACACAGTCCAAATAACCGGTTATTTTATAGAATTGGTGAGGGCTCTAGTTTCTCATCTCTTGTCGTGAGAATTCCCACACCCTTCCATTTAACGACCCGTTTCCTTTCTCACGCAGCTTCTCCCATTCCAAAATATCATATTTTGTTTTGGTTGCCTCATGTATCCATCTCCTCGCGGCCTCCAGACTCATCTCACATGCCATCACTACACCGGTTGCTGCTAATTGCTCCTCCTGCCTATCATTCTTTAGATGTAACTCCAACTCTAACCCTAACTTAAACTCTGGTCCAACTATGGTCTACCTCTCTTTATTATCCTATAACATCGTAGAAAAGTTGTTGTTCGTTGCACTGTTCACTCCTGTCAGCATTGTTGCTTTGCTCCAGTAATAATTTGTAGTTGGTGTTATGCTTGGGCAAGTCTACCTTCACCTTTTCAAAATCGGTAGGACAGTACTGCTAATGATGGTATTATCAGATGTAGGGTGAGTCGGTAGCTTACCAGGATTTATTACTTAATCCCCTTACTGCCATGTTTCTGAAGGGAACAAGAAATTCAGTTGATCTGTTCATTATAATTTAGCATTGGCAGTATATCAGCAAGTCGGTAGATGGTTCGGAGTGATTTGTGAACATCGGAGGGACATGTAGCAGGTTGGTAGATTGAGTTCGGGTAACCTCAGTGCTTATACTGTGTTGTCAGAAATTGATGTTTCTGCCTTATCATTTTAAGGTCTTTGTAATAGCTCGGATGTCGCCATAAAAAAGTTAATCCGAAGTTTTGCTAAGTTTGTTGCTAGGCAGAAATTTTGTAACTAATTTCTTTTTAAGAAGGGGCTTCATGCATAGAACTCACATTATCATCGCATAATTTTATTTTCATGTTGTATTGTGCTCACTAATTTGTTTACAAGATTATATTAGGAATAAGTTATGTTTTACCTTATTAGTACTTGTTCTGTGATCTCTCTTAGGACTGTTTAAGTTTACCAATAATTTTTACCTTTAATATGGTGCGAATTATTTGTTCGATGATCTTCGAACTGTTTTCCAACTTTTGAATGCTTTAAATTTGTTAAATGCATTTTTCAAACTTCTGTGAAAAATTTACAGTTCTTCATCGCAGTTCTTTGCGGCGTCTGTTCACAACTTGCGGATGAAGGACGTGAAAATTGAAGATTGCGAGGTAGGTTTTTCCACGCAATTGTTTTTGACGGTGTTCCAGAATTCCCACGGTGGTTTCGTTGCATCCCTTTGTGTCCAAACATTTGCATACTGGATCAGTCTGTGCTTTCGTGGTGAAGCTTTTTTGTATTCACGAAAATTCTTGATCCTAGTTTTTCTCCACAATTCATTTACCTTCTTTCCCACGGCCGACTGTGCACCTCACACTGTCACTGGTGATGTCACTCTACTATTTGCTCCTCGTTTCTCCCGTATCCATCTGCGGCTGTTATCGCCACATCTGGTCTGCAGTTTAGTTATAAAAAAAAAACCTCTAATGCACAAAACCACAGTATAATTATGCCTCATTTTCTGTCCTTGTTTGTTCCATATTTTTTTCAGTGTATGTGTAACTTTCAATATTTTTAGGCCGAAGCAGTATATCCTTTGATATCTGCTGAATCAAATTCACTTTTCGCTTTGATGTGGACTCAGAACCTTGCAGCTTTGGCTGCTGGAACAGGCACGAATGCTTCAACTAATTCATTTATGCAGCCGGTAAATTTTCATAAATTTTCACTTCTGCGATAACGACCATCGTTTTCTGTTTTTGGCCTGTGTTAACTAATTTAAGCTATTTATACTGCATAAAACAACTTATCAATGAATGAGGTTATCATTCGTGTCGAAATATTGTAGTGATGGTTATCGGCGTTTAGTGTTGAAGCTATAATGGGGACCAGTTCTGTTGATCCTTACTATTTTTTGCGTTTGATCTACTTTTTTGGAAAAGTATTGTCGTGCTTATTTGCTTCTATGTATCTGTTTTGAAACCGATGTATCGCGCGGAACCAACTAATCATTTGACTATTCGCCTGTTACCATCATGATACAAAGACTGTGTCTTTTTTTTTTTTTTTTTTTTCATAAATTTTTTGGGGAAAAGTAGTTGATTGTATCACGAAAAATGTTTTTCCTTTAGTGCCTTCTAAAGGAAACTTCGCAACTACGCCCCTATTTTAGGAATGAGGTCGTGTAGTTGTGATGCCATCTTTAAAAGTATGCTATAAACAAGTAGATTGATTGGTTTGTGGTATTTTTCCGGAATTAACTCTGTGTGTTCTTTTTCAGTTGTTGAATTCAACATCGGGAACTTTGCAACAGCTCAATCCGTTCTTGCAAACACTTGCCGTACAATCTGGAATTGGTTTTTCCCCCAAAACGAATATGGCTGTCGCATTTCCTTCCACTGTAAGAAATATTTTATTTCAAGAAATTATTTTAGAATACCGTTTATCATCACTCACTTTATGTTACTTTTTACTACTTGATTTTCTAGTTTTATCACTCGTTATATTCATTGCTAGTGTAAAATAATAGTGACAAACTATTGTTGAGACCCATGTGAAATTTTTTCTAAATTAAATAAGAACATGGTAGGACAGAGGTAAATTTGAAGTTTTAATCGTTTCTTAATCGTTTTTCGAGACATGTCTACATTTCTAATACTGGGATAATTTAAAAATTACAATAGTATTGAATTGCGAACTTAATGATTTTTGTTTACTGGAACCGAGATCTTGGGTTAATATTCATGGATAATAGGATAAGCACATGGAAGAGGAAGTCTAGACTGGAAATTGAATGTTGATTTTTCATAGAAAGGTGCATAAGCAGATAAATCGGTTCATATTTTGCATGGATATCCAAAATACTTCGACAGATGTCATTGTTTTGTTACTCACGGTCCTCTTTTTTTATCGTTCTTTCTTGTATCTGTTGTACTTGAATGGATTTATTTTATATGACTTACTCTTAGGAGATGTTTTATAGTCGCAGAAAAATTTAACTAGGGAATCCAACTGAAATAAAAGTAATGTTACTGTTACTTTAAGTAGCTTTTTTTTTTAAGTAGTAAGTAGTTGTTATTTTCAAAAAGTGCGAATTGTGATGGACTGTCTTAAATACAAGTGATACAGTTCTATATTTTTTGACTTTCCACTTGAGATCGGCTTAAATTTGTTCAATACGAAGAATGTCAGAAATTTTCAGAAAGAGGTTGAAGGCACAGATAAAGTTCTATGCCGCAATACAGCTTCAACTGGAAGCGGAAATGAGCAGGAGGCGAAAAGAATACGTCTTTCTTCCCACTCATTGAAGCCCTCTACATCTCAACATATCAACACGGTTTCAGCTGTTGGTGGTGGTGTATCTGGTAGTAACGGTGATATTACAGCAGGTGACATTTTACTTTTATCTCCACTGAGAGTAACTACTTTAGCATATAATTTGCAAGTAATTACGTGCAATGAAGCAAGATCCAAAGTTACACAATTATTTATCGGATGAAAACTTCTCTGTAGCGTTAAACGAATTTATGTTCCAAATTGCATAAATTTTGTTTAGGCATGAGTTTCATTGAAAAAATATATGGTTTCAATAATCCAGTGGTTTTTTATTGCATCTTATTTTCTTGCTTATTTTCGTCGTTTTCCATGACTAGGTTAGCTGGTATCGTACAAGCGAAAAATATGCAAATAAAAATTGCTTATTGGTGTATCCAGGACATAATATTTGATGAACATAAGATGTATGCATATAAATATGCGAATGTGTGCCATCCGTTTATCTGTTAGTGTGTATTTTCAGTTCGTATGAAATATGAGTAGTGGATTTGTGAGTGCCCGAAGATTGTGGGAATGGCTGGATTACAGTAGCATTGAGGGTTGAGTAGTGTGGGGTGCTTAAGAATCAATTAAGGAATGGATTGAGTGTCATCTGGAGACAAACACTCTATTAGGCAATCGTTACCGCACAGCATGTTTAAGACACATTGGCATGCGTATAATGGAGCAAAACGATACCCAGGACCGAAGAGATTTATACTTTGTTTACGGCATTTATTCTCCATAAAATTGCATCGTCGTTCATACAGTATTTGTCATCATATGTATCTTAATTTCTTTGGCCAATCACTTCTATCTAGCATTGATTGACTATCCTCAACAAAGTGGTTGGAAAATTTATGCATGAGGAAAGGGATATGAATTTGGCTCTGGTTATGTTTGTCTCCAGATAACACTCAATCCATTCCTTAACGATGCTATGATTTTTGGTTTAAATGGCAACAGTTCCCTTAATAAGTTTTAGTTTTCATGCAGAGGATGTGAATTGTTTGCGAAAGCTATTAGAAATCTTGTGGTTTATATTCGTAAGTCTTGTGATACGGCAAAGCAAAAACATTGGATCTTTGAGAAGATTTATCACATGTTTACGACGGTGTTTTCAATCTTGTTTCCAGTGCTTCACATCGTTAACAATTACGATTCTGTGTAAGTGATTCTAATCGCGTTTTCAATACCTGCTATGCATAGGGAAAGTAAACCTCCATACCAGTTTCTTATAGTTCGCCATGACGGGACGTAGAATATCAGCAAAATATTGAAGTGTTGGGAGAAAAAACAGGTGTTACGTAGTTTATTTCCTAATGATATGGTTAACTTAGTAGATTGTCTGGGTAAGAGTGATTATTAGTTGCAGAGCATGGGTTATATAATGAATAGAAAGGTTTATGGACATAATAAGCGAAAGTTTAGGAGGAAAGAAAGAGGAAAAGAAGTTGAATGCGGTATATTCGGAAGGTGTAAACCGAACAGCCTGCGGTGGTTAGTTGCCTCGTTGATTGGTTATCTCTAGCGTGGGAACTGTCGCCATATGTCGTACTGCTATATACGCCGTTTCTTTGAATATATGATGTCGTGAGCTAATAGATCTTAGCTTCCGTTAAGTAATGCCTGTCCTTCCTGATAATATAAGTTGCTCCGCCCTTGCATTTCTAGCCCTTTCCTTTCCTTTTTCCTTTCTATTCTATCCAGCAATTAATGCATTTATGGGAGAAATGCTTGAAGTGGTGAAGTAATTGAGGGCGGTCCTCGGTCGCATCGTGAGATCTTTTTGTCCCAAACATCGGATAAAGTAGCAGTAGTAACACGGAGAGTAGTCATGGTGGGGGATAAGGATGGATGCGGACATGGTTAAGAATATGGAATAATTTTTGCCTGTTGGTGGTGGGAGAATTCTTGAGACTTTTCCGAATTCCCATCACACATTTCGACTGTCCGCCCTTTTACTGCTTCTCAAGGATGGATTATGTACCACTTCCATCAGAACCAACTGAAAGTCTGCAAATCCAGCAACCGGTGACTGTTTCAGCGCAAGGCACGTCCGCAAGTTCCTCGTTAGTGTCTCCGTCCATTACTGCTTCACCTTATGATTTCCTTATTCCTTCGATTACTACCCCTGCCGGCTACGGTTCTCCACCATCTATTGAATTTGGTACCACACAGTTCTCCTCTGCTTCATACTGCTATTCCCAGTATTCTAATTTGCATTCTCAGTCTTTGTGGCCTTCTGTCGGCAATTTCCAGCCTTTCGGCAATCAGACGGCTGTTTTATCGTATCATCAAATTCAACAGCAACAGTTTTTTTATCAGCCTCAACACCTTGGGCATTGTTCAGGAATGGGTATGGATAAATTTGTATTTGTCGACAAATTGATTGTGTGGGCTGGTAGTGCTATTTCGAGAAAAATTTTTGGTTATTTGTATGGCTTCGTATTATGAGGAGTATATGAACTGTCTTTTGTAATTCTTTCGAACTCCGAAAACTGGGGGAGGATCATTGACCCATATCACAGAAGCAGTGTACTGAATGCAGTACAGAATACATAGTCACAAGTCTTATACAGAAAATAAGGTCTGGATGATTTTGTTATCAAATGCAAATTTCAGTAGCCGAAAGCTATAAGAACTGGGAAGTATTACATCCAGTCACAATTTTGTGTTTTGGAAATTAGGTCGTTCTTAGCATTTCTCATTACAAGTTTTTCTAGTTAATTTTAATAGGGTTTATGTCTCTATTACCAGTTGTCTTAAACTTTTTAGAAATACATTCTCAAACCTTATGTTTTACAAGTAACTCACAGATCAATGTTTCTATATTTTGTTTTGCTTTTTACTAAAGTTACGTAAGATTAGGGCAGGAATTTAAAATGACAGTGAATGATTAAATGATATACTTATTGAGAGAGATGATGCCTTCTTCACTTAGATAACATTGATTCTGTGAAAGTTTAATTTAGATTCATTCTATGGAGGTATTTCAAGTCCATCGGGCACCACATTTGGCTCATCCTGTGGTGCTTTTGATTCATTTAGTGGTATTGGCAGCACAGGAATCACACCACAACAAAATACTAGTTACGCTGGTGTTATGAATTTACCACAACAGTTACCTTTTTTAAATATTATTGGTGAGCAGCAGCCACTTACCAGGTAATTTTCACGATTTTGTTTTCGTGATAAAGAAAATTCATGTTTCCTGGAAGTGAGATGATGTTTCCGTGAGACAAAAATTATGCTATGCATCTTAGCACTTTTTCACTATTCACTTTTTGGGAAAGTCTCTTAATTCAAAAGCTTTCTTTTTTTTTATTGTCCCAGTAACTATGTTTTTATAAGTTTGTTGCTTTAGATTTCTTCCAAAAATCGTTATCATTTACCTCATTGACTTTCACTTTCTACTTAAATATGTTTTGATTACAGAGAAGTAATGCAAGATTATCTGAATAATCGTCAAAAATATGATTGTATTGTTAGTATATTTCATGCTAAAGTGGCGCAGAAATCTTACGGAAATGAAAAAAGGTTGGTGAGTCAGTTTGTGGAATTTTAGATGGAGTTTATAGAAGTCCTAAAACTTTTTAATACTAAATTCTGGAAAATTAGCTGGTAAACTGATAATTAGCCAATGCCTTGAACGATGAGAAATTTCCGAATCGGAAGGATTATTAATATGGCTAGGATTTTAATTCCAGTTCTAATTATCAGCAGTAGAGTTAATCTGAATGGTCTGCTTACACAGTATTGTGATTCAATTCTTTTAGTCCCATGATCCGGATATAATGCTTCTGATTTCAGATAGTTTACATATCCCCAGTTTTTGAGAAAAGTAAAATTTATAGGGAAGACGGTTGATCACATACATTTTATCCTATATTTGTGGTGCTGTTTCAATAGGGAAATATACTGATTATTCACGATAGGTTTTAAAAAGCGTGAGAATATCTTTTTAGTTTTGGTTTTCCATTAGTTCCATTCTTTATCGAATTGGTTTTTGCTTCCAGTACATTTCAACTGTCTTCATTACTTTGCATACACCCATCGACTACCGTACTTAGATGGATGACTTCTTCACATTTCCCACCTTCTCTATTTCTTCCTCCAGTGCAGCCTATTGCAAGCGTGTAGTGTCACTACCGTATCCTTCATGCCGTTACATCTGATCGATTCCTTTTTATGCCTAGGCCTTAGCTTCCACATTGTTTATACTTCCGCTAACATGTTGAAGAATGCCCCAACAATAACCCATGCCTCCTACACTCACTACTGTCACTTTTATAAACTTTTTCTCAGTCGTAAAGTGGAGAAAAAAACAACGCTAGTAGATTTTGATTAGAAGATATCGTTGTTGAAAATGACTTCAATGATATTTTTTTACTGAGATGTCACTTTCATAATTGAGAAATTCATGTACCAAAGCGACGGTATGAGAAACAGAACGGTCAAGTGAATTATTTGAATAAAATCTTATGCCTTGTAAATCCATTAAAAAACCAGTTCCCCCATTTCTTCTAATGCTTCTTCACGTCAGTAATAAAGTATATCATGGAAAACCTTTTTATTGCAACTACTGAATTTATTCAGTTTGTTTCTCAGATAAATATAGCTCAGCGGTTTGTTTTCCTGTAGAAGGATTTCTGGTGAACTTTTATGAAAATGGGTTTTCAGATTTTTCTGTCCTCCACCATGCATTTATCTTTTCGGAGATGGGTGGAAGCACAAAAAGAAGATGGCGGAAGATTTATATAGACGATATCGTGAATACCAGAAGCGAAACGATATTCAGGAAACGGATTCAGATGCAGAACATATTAGTGAAGCTCGGTCTACTGAGTTATGTGCGTTTATCGGAATTGGAGCTCCATCTGAGCAGGAAAAACAAACACTTGATTTCTCTAGCAACAAGGTATATTATCTGGTTTTCCTAACTATCGATGCACTCGGTATGACAGGATTACGTGTTTGCGTATTGTTAATGCAGCCATGTAGACGAGTGTCGGTTTTTCAAAGCTTACACATATTTGATAATTTAGGAGCTTCAATTTTCAAATTTTGGGCATTCTTTGCCAACTATGCTGCAAAACAACTTCTAGTTTATTTCTCCTGCAAATTCATAGCTTTGCGATTTCGATTGTAGATTTCTGTTTTCATAAGGGAAGCCCATTCGTCATTTTTCTGGTTAAATCTAAGTTTAGGTCAGAAGTTGTAGGCAATCATAGTAGTTTTAGTAAATATCATGAAGAACTTTGTAAATTTGCCCTTCGGCCTATTGGTAGTCGGAAATCAAAGCACCTAATGAATATATTCCGAAATTAATAGTATATTGATTAAATTTTCTTCCAGTTTCCAATATTTCTCATCACTGATTTGTTCCAGGATTATTGTGCAGCGAAGACATTATATATTTCGGATGCCGACAAGCGCAAATATTTTGAGCTATCGGTGCAATTCTTCTACGGGTCTGGACATGAAATTGGGATTTTTTCTTCTCAACGAATTAAAGTTATAAGTAAACCAAGCAAAAAGAAACAAAGCATGAAGAATACCGATTGCAAATACCTTTGTATCGCCTCTGGTACCAAAGTGAGCCATCGTTTCTTTGTGCCTTTGAAGACAGTTTCGTTTTGTTTTGTAAATGAGACAAATTCATTTGATCCCGTTTCAGGTTGCCTTATTCAACAGGCTTAGGTCGCAGACAGTCAGTACTCGTTACTTACATGTTGAAGGAGGAGGGTTCCATGCGAGTTCGACAAAGTGGGGTGCTTTTACAATCCATCTGAGTTAGTTCTTTTGTACCATTTTAATTGTTGAATTCAGTCCAATTATTTTGTTTAATGTTACCATTTTTCTTTGAAACATAGTAAGAATTCCTATTTCTGGACATTTCAGTCGAGGATGACCCTAATGCAGGTGAATCTGAGGATTTTAATGTCAAAGATGGCTTCATTTACTATGGTGCTTTAGTGAAACTCGTTGACAGTGTATCAGGAATTGCTTTGCCTCGTTTGGTATGTATCGAACTTTTTAATATAGCTGTTGATGACAGTTGGCAGTGGGATGTTCCTGTTGATATTGAGGTAGTTACGGTTTTTTAGAGAATTCGTAAAGTCGATAAACAACATGTTGTACTGGATGCATCTGCAAGCGAAGAACCAGTTAGTCAGCTACACAAATGTGCATTTCAAATGGTTGATTCTGATACAATTTATCTTTGTCTTTCACATGATAAGATTATCCAGCATCAGGTACTTTTTTTTTTTTTAAATAATTTTTTTTTTTTTTGATTTACTAGGGGAATGCACGTTTATAAACTGAAGTTCTAGAATCTTGATATGACGAAATTAATTTGTTGGTGCATAATTGGCTTTAACTATACTTTTACAGGCTGTACCCGTCGATGCAAATCGACATCAAATTAGCGATGGTGCATCGTGGACTATTATTTCTACAGATAAGGTAAATTTAACTGAGTTTTGGCAAAATTTTTATTCGAAATAGTCTTATTCACTTACATCAGCATAGGGAAAAACGGAGGCTAAATGTACATTACTGTGGATACATCATAAGATTCCTTACTGATGTACATTATTTACTGGATAGACTAGAGTTTGAAAATAAGTTTTATAATGAGTTGCTTGTGACGTATGATGAATATTTTAATTCATCAATTTTCTCTTTTAGGCCGAATATCGATTTTATGAGGCCATGGGACCAGTACGTCAGCCAATAACTCCAGTACCTGTTGTCAGCGGTATGGAGCTGTATGGCGATGGTGATCTTGCCCGAGTCGATCTCATTGGTTCAAACTTCAGGACAAATCTCAAGATTTGGTTTGGTACTATACCGGTGGATACCATCTTCAGGTTTGTTCAACATTATAAGTTTAAGTGGTGCATTATAACGAAGAACTGAAAACATTCGGAAATTACTGGTATTTCTTTAAGCGTCATCATGTTTGTTGCCTGAACTCGTGAAATAATTAAAAGGTATAACGTCCTAATTGAGTTTTTGTGCTGAAATACTGGCAAAAATGAAGAGCGAACAAAAGATCAGTTATTTCTTCGGTAATTTTATACGCAGTGAAGCTAAGTTTTGCAAAAGCGTTTGGTTGTAGATCAGAAGAAATGATGGGTTGTTTGGTACCTCCGTTGTCGGCGGTTTGTCCGAATTGGGCACCGTATTGTGGCGAACCTGCTGCAGTTCCCCTATCGTTGGTTCGCGATGATGGTGTCATTTATTCCACAAACATGACATTTAGCTACAAAAGTGAAACGGCTGCGCGGTCGATGGTGAATCGACGGTATTTAGAAAATATGACGTCATAAGCATCACTGATGACTCATTTATCTTTTTTCGGTCCGCATATTGTTCTAATCGTTTCTGTTGTCCATACTGTTCTGAGAATTTGGATTTTAACTTAAGCATTATCAAAAATCCAAGTGCGGCAGATCTACCGTACTGCAACGAACCCATAGTAGCTTACCGTTTCGCAAGGTTGTGGCAAGGTATTTATGCTTCCACTCCTTCTTTTGAAATATGGAAGAACGAGGGAATAACCTGGTCTCCTTACTTTGGTTTTATGTATGATGTTTCTAAATAGTTTGGATAATTATGGAAATTTTATCTTCGGAACTATCTAGTACGTTGGGTTATGCTGCATTTTCACGCCGCAAACTTTATTTAAGTTATTGCAAATTGTAAACTGGCAAGTATAGTGTTTATTGTGCAGTGCTAAAACCACTTTTTTCTAAACTCTTTCTGTCTCGACACGTTCCTATATTACTAAGTTTTATATCGTAGGTTGTTATGTCACTGCAATTTACAATATAAATATTCTATTATTTGTTCACTTTCCATTTTTCCCATCTTTCATGGAGTAAACTATTGAGATGCTGTGTCATATTAGGATCATGTCAGGATGTGAGACTGTTGCATCTGAACAAAAAATTTATTTGGTACCCATAGCATGGTGCTGTTGGAATGGATTCGAGAAAAAGACCTGCATACGGGACAAATAAGTTGTTCGTCGTACGTTGAGCACTGATTTGTCTTATGTTTTCTGCTGAATTTCTGTGCCGCATTTCATAGGCTACAGTCGATGGGGTTTTTGCAGTATTGGGTGTGTCTGCCGTGCACTTTTTGCATTCCATGCGGACATTTTTTGCGTCCGTTCGAGTCTCGAATTGCCAGACATTTCCCTTTCCGTAGCATCTTTGAAGCTAAATTCAATTGGAAGTTTGTGACCTATTATCCCTTAAGATTTAATTGGGAACTGTTCTGAAAGTACAGCATTAACGTATAGCATCAAGGGGGAGAGGGGAGTATTTTTGCCTGTGGTCTAAATGGCCTCTAGAAATGGGTAGTACTGTCAGTTCTTTGCGAGATATGGGTCTTTTAGTTATATTTGAGAACAACGTGTGGATACAGAATTAGAAATCCATCCGAATTAGCGGGTAGTTACCTCGCAAAGTTTTGCAAAGTTTTGTTTGTTGTGGACATTTTCGTACATCAGTTTGTTCTTTGCATTTCAAATAGCGATGTTGCACATTGGAACTGTTGCATAATGACCACTGTGTATAATCGTCCTCAACTGGATCGTCCTGAAGAAAGTGAACCCGCACTATTAGAAAGAGATACCGTAAGCGTCTCGTCACATCTCAGTGTGCTAATGATTGCAATCAAACCAGGAAGACGTCGGATATTTCCTTCTTATTGCGTGTTCGTGGTATTTCAAAGTAAAACACTCGAACTCCCTGGTTTTCAGCAACAAATACGTTTGGATGTGTTTCTCGATTTTCCGTATTTAACAAACAGTTCTGTAAGCAAAGCATTCGTGTGTTTTCTGTCACTGGATCTTTAATCTTTGGATGATATCTTTGCTTATTCAGTAAGCTATTAGTGACAGTACATGCAGTGAAGAAAGGACTACATACCTGATCTTTATCATTTGGGTACCACATTGCTGAACGACACAGGAATGAGAATTTCTGTTCAGCTTGTAAACAGGCACTCATACATCCGATCAGCGAGGCTGCATCAACCACTTCCATTACATGACCAACAAGAATATGATCCAGGACTGTTGGCCACAACTTTTCTGTTGCCTTGGCTAAACTCGCTGAGAAACAAAACTGGAATTGATAAGATAAACGGAATTTGTTCTCAGATACCTTTATACAATTAATAATATTCTGGTGCTAAGTTATACGCCGTAAAATAATTTAGGTAAACTACATATTTAAATGAAAATGACGAGTTTTGTGCATACTTTTTCCAGATATGTGCTGTTTTCTTTGAAGATGAAGTCATCACTGTTTTTATCAGTAGTCCTTGAAACTGATAATTCGCATTCTTTAGTCCTGTGAATAACAGATGTGCTGCAACATAAGAATTGTAGCACTGAAACGGGTAGCACAAGTTCCATAGGGCTACATTCATCCTGATGATTATTTATCCAGGTTACAAAAAAAAAAAAAAAAAAAAAAAAGAAAAAGAATTTAAGCATCGTTTCTGTCTAATAGCTTCTGAAGTAGAAGAAAATTTCGACTTCTTTATTCCTGAAAACTCTGAAAATTTTAGCACGGGGAATATTTCTCTATTTGGATTTTTGAGAGATGAATATTTAAAAATTCCGAAGTACCAAGTGAACATCTCCTCTTGATCGCATGCTCTTGCGCATTCTTTCAGACTTTCGCTTTTAACAAAGTGCATATCAGTCGCTGAATTTAACCGTTCGTAGTTTAATATCATTGCGTAACGTGCCACATCTTCATTCTTGCATAGCTTTTCACCACTTTTGTTAGACAATTTTCGGTGTACAGGCTGCAAAAAATGAGCAGGCTTGTGGCATAAAATTATAGTATTACCTTACGTTTGTTTTGATTTCCCAATTTCTTTCATTCTTTTGCAATTTCGATCATGTGATCTTTTTATATGCAAGTAATTCTTTCTACTTTTAAATTACAATAAAGATGACGAAAATTTAACTGATACTTCGTAGTCTGAAAGCGAATCTGATCCATATTTTTCAGTTATCTCTGTGTTTTGTGAAGCTGTTAGATATGCTGGTTCTTTATTGTCTGCATCAGAGATAGTTGAGTACTGAGTTAAATGAACATTGGAAGACGGATTTACTTGCAGATATCTGCAGTAATTCGTAGAAACCTTTGTTGTTTTATACATTTTAATTATTAAAAACTACCGAATCAGCTAGTGTTGACATATTGAATAGTGTTTTAACATTCAATATACTATATTAAAATGCATCTAGAAATGTGTTCTGAACATTGATTACTTAAGTAACACTGCGTCTTAAACCAAACTATATTAAAATATCTTTCAGCCAGATTAGACCATTCAAAACGGAAAAAAGATATGTGTACTCGAGATAATCTCTATCCAAATATTCAGTAAGGAAATGAGGAGGATTTGTGCCATTCACAGCAAATAAATCGCAAATTTTCCAGTGATGATCGAAAGTTAACGAACGGCACATCCATTCGGAATTCGGATCCTGGGATAACTGCAGATTTATTATGCAGAAAATGAAAATACTGAAATCTTCTATGAAATTATCAATTTTGGAATGAAGATGGAAGGATAAGAGATCGGATTTGTATCTTTTAAATTGATGGCTCTTTCAACTAATAAACTTAAAATGATTTAGCTGACTGCTACCTGAAAATGGAGACATTTTCGAACACATTCCTCACATGTAAAGCCAGTTGTGCGCTCAAACATTATTGCGTTTGCAATTGCAGTTCGAGGCTCGAATCGCCAAGATTTACGATCTGAAAAGAGGTAGTTTGTAACCATTTTACAAATTTATTAGTTGAAAACTACTGTAAGTGAAAAAGAAGTTTTGACAGAAGCAAAGACAGAGAAGTTAGAGAGAGAGAGGGAGAAGATTTATGATAAATTCCTTGAAAAAAGAAGCACTAGTATTAGGATTGCCATATGGAACATATTAAACATTATGGAATAAGACATATCATATAGCATATTCCTAGAAATATTTAGCTAATAAAAGATGGATTCTTGCTTCAGTCTTACTGAACTGAAATAAACGTACCGAAGGAACACTTTCCGGAACTTTTGGCATCTCGTCTTATCGGAGGTGGCGGTGGCCGATATCCGAGCGATGGTTCATCTCTTACTGGAACACGTGGTGGAGCTGCAGGAACTGTTGGTTTTGTATAGACATAACTTGATTCGCTTCCTCCATAGCTTAACTGTGGTGCTGTTACATTGACAGATGACTCAGTTATGCTTGAATACTGACCATTAGCTGATTGTAACAAGCATGCAAAGATAATAGCTAGCATGGCACAGCCTTCTGTAATGACTGGAGAAGTTTTAGGTAGATGGACAGCCGACACTACCAGGTGATATGATATGACGTTAAATAGGGTATTGGAGGCGGAACAAAAAAAAACACATCATGGATTAAGTCCTTAAAAGATAGGTTGACAGAAATTAGGAAGACAACTGGATGACCCGGATCCTTCTTTCACTACAGCATGTTTTATTTGCCCTGAATTTCATTAATGGATACTGACGAGCAATATCTTTCCACAGAAATATTACATCATTCATTCCAATTTCATCTTCTAATATGGGTATTTCCTACTAGTTAATCAGTAAAACTCGTCACTAAAGAGAAGCTATTACTAAACACTCTTGATTTTATGGATGTAACGCAGTTATCAATCTTCATTAATCGATTTTTTAGACATTCAAAAGATTGTTTTAGACTTAAAGGAGATAATTGTTTTGGAAAAACTCTTCCAGTTTTAGAAAATAAATCAAAAAAAAAAACTCCAGGTTAAAAGTAGTAGAACAGAAAGCATCACGCGGAAATGCTTACAAAGTCCACGAATGAACCTTCAACAATCCCAAATATCTCTTTACAGTATTAAATTCCTGTGCATTTCCTGGGAAAAGTATATCAGCATTGCTTCGAAACAGAAGATGGATTTTTCCTCGAACATCACTTGATAACAAAAAATGAATTTCGTCCAGATTTCATCTTACCATCATGATAGCTGCATAATCTATTCAATTGAAAAGAATCAAAAAGTGCCTGCTAGTCATTTCATTTGATTTCAACTTTTATTTATGAATTTTTATTTGTCTTTGCCATCTTACATTTGCCCATAATACTTCTAATTGCACAAATATTGTATAATGAATCATTATCACATAAAAATATACATTTTACAGTACACCAAACAATCACAAACAATGATTATAGAGAAGGCACTTTGGAAATTTGGCACTAAAGAGAAGATATCAGTAATAAAAATCAATGTCATAACAATATTTTACGTTTAACAACAGATAGTTAATACAGATTAAGTCGCGAATTAAATTAATAAGTGCCACTAAACTTTTAAATTTCAACTGTCACCTTCAAATAAACTGCACTGTTATAATCAAAATTCAGAAAATCTTAAGATATTCTTAATTTTGATTCCATGCACCTTTCATGCACAAGAGACTTGCCTCATCCACATATTTCCGTATTATTCAAAGATATAGAATATGACACTTTTTCCAACTAATTTAGCAATCAACACCAAGTGTCATTTCAATATTAAGGGTAATATTCGCAGTAATCGTTTATTTCACAATAACTCTATAAACAATCTTATGATCTATTACGGTTTTGCACTAGCATTGAAATTCTTTCTCGATAGAGTAGAAAGCAAACGAAAGAACATTCAAAAAGAACTACGAACATATTACCTAAAGCAGACTTTTACACAGCTGAAGTAATATAAGTTTTCTATAATTGGTAGATAGAGCATTTTCGAAAAACACTTTTTTATCATAAAAGATCTATAAGGTAATTGAAGAATGCAAGCACTAAGCTTCTATATTTGCTCAAAAAAAAAAAAAAATTAACATAATACATATCATATATTAAAATAACTTATTAAAAAACTTTTTCAATGATGCGCAGAAGCGTTACTCGAACAAAACTCGGTATTATCTGGCAAATAAAACGTATCCAGCAGAAAACAAACAAGAAAGCGAAACTAAGAAGTGCAAACGAATTCCGATAACTGCTGCCTGCAAGTATTTCTAGAGCATACAGCACTATTTAAATCAACCCCAAATAGTAATTTCTTAATTAAGTAACAATTACTTCATTTAGTTTCATGAGAAATGGCTGTGAACATTTCAGAATTTCTAAACAACATGAAACACTATATCGTAGTTAACAAAGATGGAAAAATCCACTTTTAAAAATAACAATCTATCAAAAGACTCGATGATGTATAAGATATGCAGGGATTTAAATGAAGAGAAAAACAAGCGTTACTCCAAGATAAGTAAAATCAAGGAATACTTACTTTATAAAATATACCAAAGAATCCTTTTTTTTCATTAAGGAGCCATGCGTTAATGCGCGGCACTCTCTTTAGATAAGCACAAGTGCAAATTACGAGCAAACCGGCAATCACAGCACCATCAAACGAATATGCTGTAAATACTTCGATAACAAAATTTTAAAGCATCTAAAACATTAGTTTCGAAAGTTCATCAGTTCCAGTTATTCTTTTCAACAAGATCTCTTGATGGCAACTTAAATTTATGTCGCATATATTTACAAATTGGCTTCCTTGAAGCAATTTTCAAAGCTTAAATTATCTTATTAATGCCTATTTGTACATACCAAAAGAATAAATAGATTACCGTTCATAAAGACAGATAAGATGAGAATCCCACTTGTTCGTAGGCCTGAAATCTTAAGATTTACACTACAAATTACTATTATAACAGGAAAGCTATAATACGAACAAAGATTATTACGAACTCCTATTACAGATATGTTGTTTACGTCCAGAATGCCAACAAGCAAAGTCAAATTACTGCTCTAATCTAACAATACCATTAACAAAATGACAATCACATTGATAGTCTATAACAGCAACACTTGCCTATGTCAAAGATCTATGCGTAAACTTCAAAAGTATAAACAAACCCTACAAATAATAAGCAAATTTTAGACAACCTTCACGGCAGACCTAAACTAGTAGAACATGAAAATTCTCGTTCATTTTTATCCGTGACGCAAATTTTCCCCAAACATTTAACAAGTAAATGTTTTAGTAGGACCACAGATCAGATCCGATTTCCAATGTCGTTTCGGACAAACAAAGATGTTGATAGGGAGCATGGCTTATGGAGAGGTGACAGACAGGTGAAATTCGCGAAATGGTGCTTGAGAAGATTGGGGTGTCGTTACCGTTTCCGGATACGAATAGAGTTAATGTCCGTAAAGTGTGCTAATGATAAGGCCGGTTATATTATTATCACTGGTGCATTTAATTATATAATAATATGGATGCGTGGATTTTACAAAGAATTATGTTTTCGGACTCCTATCTCAGTTCAAGTAACTAAATAATTGCTAATCTTGCATTAATTAATATTCTTGTATTAATATTTGCGAGGTTGAAAGATCAAATAAGACGCTTAATGAATGACGAGTTGTGTTTTATGTTGTTTCTTATAATTATTTTCATCGTTCAAAAAATCGAGTGCTAAAAAACATACTGGACTAATTCAATGAGTTTGAACTTCCACAATCATGACGTTTCAAGAAACAAGAATTTCAATTACAAAATGATATTACATGTCAGAATTATTATTTAAAAAGAAAAAAAAAATTTTATTCATTTTGTACAATAAGTCATCGATGAGGCCGTGGGAGATTGCCGAATATGTGCATGCATGGGAAATTGGGAATAGATAAAGTTAAACATTCAGTTGCCAACAAGTAGTTCTATTTAGTTCGCTAATAACTGTTTCTGATTACTTCCCGGATGTACATATGAGAAAGAAACAAGAGAAGGAAGAAATTTCCCGTACTTTTCACCGCTGTTGGGAATACAGAAAAAAAAATTTAATAACAGTTGAATTTTATTTCTTGATGCACAAAAGGTACCAATTTTTTAATGTTGTGTTATGCAAGTTAAATGTGGAATTCAATTCGTAAAGCATTGTTGTTAAAGCCTTCGATTGTGCCTGTTTCTGAAAAATATGCTGGTAAAATTTCGATTAGTTTTTGAAATCAGGAGCTTAAAGCTGTAGCAGAGTGTCTATGTTGTGGCAGTTGTTCATGTCAACATATCGAGAACTCTTATCCCTTCTTCTCTACCTCCATTCCACCTTTAGGGTATTCTTCAACTTTTTCATCTTCTTCAACCTTCAGTTTGTTCTCCATTCTCTGTTACTAACAAATTTTAACTAGCAAGCTAGGGAGGTTTAGATGAATACACGTTGTAAAGAATTCTTGAGATGATGCTTATCCAGTTCCTACTGCTGCTGCTGTTGCTGTTATTGTTGCTACTGCAGCTACTACTCCTACTGCCGCTAAAAACTGTTGAAAATGTCAAATGAGTACAGAGCGATGAATTGCAACCCTCTCTCGAGCTTTTCAACCATCTATTTTAAGGTTTCTTCACCCCAAGGCATACATCTCGAGCTTTGTGCAGCTAACACTAAAACAATCCTGTAAACCTACCCTCCTTATTACTCCTCCTTCCCTCTTCATGCTTTATTGCATTAACCCTTCAAAAATTCATTATTTCCTAGAAGCTCAGTCATTCCTGAACGCTTGGTTTAGGAGGATGGAAAGTGCCTTGTTATCCATCTCACATCATTGCAACTTCTCACTGTTGGGTAGTAAACGTTAGAAGTAGTTAAATTTTTTTCTGCATTGATTTGCTATTAATTTAAACTTTCATTTCTTTACGAAATCGTTTATTACATTTAATCGTGCTGTATTTTAGAAGGAAATGAGCTTACAGAATGGGCTGAAATAGGATGTCTTTTGAAATGATCTGAGAAATAAAGTAGTTGTTAGATAATTATGTTTACAAAATACCAATATGATAAACAGTTATGGGATGTACTCATCTACAACTAATTTTTTTCTCATGCAATCACTGACAATAATTTCATATTTACTCAGTATTAGATAACTGAATTCAAATGCTCATGGCTTATTCGAATCATTCTTCCTAATCTGTATGAAATAAACTTTAAACTTTTCTAGATCCTGATGTTTTTTACTATTTTTAATGTGATGTGACTATAACCAAAATTGAAAATGTATGTTATTTATGCTTAATTTTATTTTCAAGGCTTTTTAAACAGCATTAGAAAACCTTTCTGGACATTCCTAAGGACTGCTATGCAGAAGTTATCATTACATCTGCTTGAATCACATTTTGATCCGAGTATTTGTAATTTTATTTTGGTGCTCCCATAAAGAAGTTATCTATTAAGAAATATTCAAAACTGTTAAGTTTTCCGTACCAGTTTTGCATTTTTCATTTGACGTCTCACTTTTCTGCAGAAAAAGACAAAATAAAATAAGGCTTAAATTGATTGAAAGCAGAGATTTTTTTTTTTTTTGAAGCAGACGATATTTTTTCGGCATGTCCAAACTCGAAAGTGATCATGAGAAAGATCCAGGATGGCAGTATTTGCGACAGACTCGCGAGCAGATGGCTGCCGTAAGTACAAATTTTTTTCTGCATTCAACTATACGTTCGTTTTTTTTAAAAATAAACTTCGTTTATTTTAAATTACAAAACACATTTTCTAAAATAAATTTCGGCTGACAATTGTTCCCACGTATTTGCTTATTCATCGCTATAATGCGAAACTCTAATGTTTGAACATTCATTTATGTAACAATTGAAAAATCGAAATTAGCAGATAAAAGGATATATTTCCGAAAACAGAAATAGATTAAAAACATAATCCAAGAACTTAAACATTTATTTTTTTCTTACTTAAGGAAAAATAATTTATTTAAAGGAACAGTCACGACCGTTTGACTCGAAAAAGAATTGCTGGATTCCGGATGCTGAAGAAGGATACATTGCTGCTGAAATAACAAGCACGAAGGGCGACAATGTCACTGTAGTTTCTGCTCGTGGTAATGAGGTGTGTTTTCATAATGGCAGAGAAATGGTACTACTGTTCTTAGAAAGTATTTGCTTAAATACGGAATGTTGCTAACCAATCTCTATTAAATGTTTTTTTAGGTAACAATAAAGAAGGACATGCTGCAAGAAATGAATCCGCCAAAATTCGAAAAAACAGAAGACATGTCAAATTTGACATTTTTAAATGATGCATCTGTACTGTATAATCTTCGATCACGATATTCCTCAATGCTTATCTACGTGAGAGATCCTCTTACAATATTATTTCTAAAAAATCATTCAATGATCCATTTTTAAGCAGATGATTTCTTTGTGAATTTCCTGTAACTGCTCTATTAAAGCATCAGATAGGAATCAAATTTTCAGACTTATTCTGGTTTATTTTGCGTCGTGATCAATCCCTACAAGCGTCTTCCAATTTATACTGATTCGGTTGCAACAATGTATATGGGAAAAAGACGAACGGAAATGCCACCACATTTGTTTGCTGTATCAGACGAAGCATATCGAAACATGCTTGTAGATCATGAGAATCAGTCGATGCTAATTACCGGTGAATCTGGTGCTGGTAAAACGGAAAATACCAAAAAAGTAACTAGCTAGAATTATTGGCAAATTAGAATAGAATCAGAAACCAGGAAATTATTTGCATAATTGTCACTTTCATTGAACAAGAAATTCTAAGTATGAACTGGAATTATTTATCAAATTTATTCGTAACTATCCGGATGAAACAATTTATACTATCCTTTCTAAAACTGGGACAGAAAAAAATCACATTTGAAAAGATAGAGAGATATTATGTGCATTATCACCATTCCAAGCTACAAAAAATAATCTTTGCTGATTTGTTAACTAAAATTTAAACAACTTTAAATTTCAAACAATCGGAGCAGTTACAGAATTCTCTTCATACGATTTTCAGGTGATTGCATATTTTGCGGTAGTTGGTGCATCACAGAATAAAAATCAAGGAGAGAAAAAAGTCACTCTGGAAGATCAGATCGTTCAGACAAATCCAGTTTTGGAAGCGTTTGGTAATGCGAAAACTGTACGTAACAACAATTCATCGCGATTCGGCAAATTCATTCGCATTCATTTTTCAAGACAAGGAAAAGTTGCTTCCTGTGATATTGAGCACTGTAAGTTTGCTCACACGGTTTCATTATTCACAATTTAAAATCAGCATTAAGTTTGCATAAATCATTAGTACTGCAGGTTCTTGAATTTGCTTCATCAGGAGGAAATTTGATAGTGTGCATATGACCATTTCAGATTTGCTGGAAAAATCTCGTGTGATTCGTCAAGCTCCTGGAGAACGATGCTATCATATTTTCTATCAGATCTTTTCCGAATTTAATCCAACTCTTAAGAAAGAACTTCAATTGGATCAGCCACTTAAAAATTACTATTTTGTGGCACAAGCTGAATTGACCATCGATGGTGTTAATGATAAGGAGGAGCACCAGCTGACAGATGAAGCCTTTGATATTCTCAATTTTTCACCGGAAGAGAAAATGAACTGTTACCGTCTCGTTGCAGCAATCATGCACATGGGTTGTATGAAATTCAAACAGCGACCACGTGAGGAGCAAGCAGAACCGGATGGCACTGATGAAGCTGAAAAAGCATCCGCCATGTATGGAATTGACACAGAGGAATTCCTGAAAGCTCTCACCAAGCCACGTGTCAAAGTTGGTACGGAATGGGTCAGTAAGGGACAGAATGTGGATCAGGT